ATTGCTGATTTCCCCCCCCCTCCACCTTCTATGCAAATCGGAGTCACTCGGGGGAGCGAGCAATTGCCGCAGCGAGCGGTCATTTCCTTCCCAAAACTCGCCGGCCTCGTGGCTCGCGCGACCACTTGTTAAGTCGAGACAGCCGTGGCAACCCCCACCCACCCCCCCTCCCTTCCCCAAATCACCCTCCAACCCCCCCACCAATAACCCAGCCTGAGCACGCCGGCAGGGGCGAACACGGTTGGCTTTGTGAGCGCGATGATGGTCGCCCGCTGGCACGAGACGCGTGGCACGTGTGCGCGGTGGGGGCGGGCTGGGGGCCTGGGGCTATACGCGGGCAGCAGAGAAAGGGGGTGATGGGGTAGGGGGTGGTGGGGCAATTATCCAGCCTTGCCCTTTGCGTGTGTGTGTGTGTTACGGTTGCCACTTCTGAGGTGGACAAAGAACCGGGACATTTATCGGCGGGGGGGGGGGGGGTATATCGCAATACAGGACTATAAGAGAGCTGTTGAATATAAATGCAACGGACAAACATCGAGACTTATTCGAGTATTTTCCAGCACGGCCACCTCAATGGGAGGATGAATGAGAGCAAACCATAACAGGTGGTAACCGTAGTGTGCGTGTTTAGTTTACGTTGGGTGTTGTGGCCTAGTGGTCAGCGCGGACTGGACAATTGTCCCCGTGACCCAAGTTAAATTTTCAGCTGTGACTCGCATCGCTGGCGAGTGATATCAGAGCCGGTTCTGATATCGCTGGCGATATCAGAACCAGTTCTGATATCACATCGCTGGCGAGTGATATCAGAACCAGTTCTGAGTGATATCACATCGCTGGCGAGTGATATCACATCGCTGGCGAGTGATATCAGAACCAGTTCTGGTCCTCCACGAGGTTTACTCGGCCTTGAATACCTGGTGCAGTGTAAAACAGTGGGTGTATTACGATGCATCAATTCACATCGATTCATATACATCGCATGATACGTGCATTGAAACACGTTCAATAATTTAACCTTTTTCAATTTGTATATGTTGTACGTAATAGGTTTACGTGGGCCCTCCAGCCACAAGAGGCATTGAACACAATATAAAAATTAGTAAATATTTAAGTCGAATAACTTTGAATCCTGACAACTGAATCTCAGAGGTGGGATACATTTGCTGAAGCAAAACAATACATTTTACTTTTCATGTCTTTATCATTTTCCCTCTCTCAACGCGGCAGTAGTAGTAGTAGATGTGTTCCAAAAAAGGGTGCACAAAGGGAAAACAGCTGCCTGGCGAGTAGCGCACTCAGTGCACACACACACACACAATGTCCCACGTCCCACCGCTTAAGCCGCATGTGGAGTGAATTCAAACCGAATATAGCGAATTTTGGGTAGAAATAAGTAAGCCGCACAAACGCGAAATCACACAAACTGAGCCCTGCACGTGAGCTCAGGCAGAGTATCAAACTCGGCACCTCCGGTTTGTGAGCGCCGTGCCACAACCCGCCACAACCCGCCCCAATGAACTATTGAATGGAGATGGCAAAAAGAAAACCTGAAAAACGAAACAACAAGAGCAGACAATTACAGATTATTGATTCGCATTGAAGTACCAAATCGTGATAATTAAATGCAGAGTGGGGAAGACTGGGGGGGGGGAGGAGCAGTGAATCATGAGATGACTCGTAAATGTGCGTCGATTTCGTCTCTCGGAGCCACTGGTAACATCAAACGAAGCGGCGGGGGGGGGGGGGTGATGCACAAACAAAGATTTATATTTGTGTGGGTTAGCAGCCGTGGCAGCAAGGCCTAATTATACGGGCACAGCCTCCCCCACAGTGGCACGGAGAGCGGTGCTCTCACCACGCCAGAGTGGCGCTCGATCCAGCGGTAACAGCTCGCATGTCGCGACCACATCTGCACTGGGGCCCACATTTCCCGTAACCTTGAGGGGGGGGGGGAGGGGGTGCGGGGTGAAACTGGCAATCCTCCTTATCAACCGCATTAACGCGCGAAATAGATGTGTGGTTTTTTTCTCCCCTCACAAAAGTACAATCGTGGGGAAAACTGAAGATATGCTGGGCGAGGCAAATGGAACGGCAGGGGCGCATGTGGCGAACGCGATAAACCCAACAAATTGTGTGACGATGATAATAATGATCGTTGAGTTTGTATTTCTTCTTTCGATGAGCTGCTGAAAATTTCTGACCTTTTGCAGTGATGAGGCAAATGCACGCAGAGCAATCCACTGCTGAATGACGACCTCTCTTCTCACTTCCAGTCACTGTGTCAGCAGTTTGACCATACGTCACCGTGCTGGTCAGTGGGGGTGGGGTGGTTCAGGACAGGTTTAGGTATCACGCCTCACATTTATCTGCGGCTGGGAATCAAACTCAGGTCACTGGAATCGTTGCACAGTGCATGAACTGTCATCATCATCATAATGTATTATTTATACCGCACCTCCCATTTGGAACAGAGCTCCATTGAGTACATACACTGATTCGCCGTCTTTAAGTAATGTAACATTTTAATTAATAGCAGTAACAATGTCAATTATATACTCAGGAAAATCTCAATGAGCCTAGAAAAAAATATATATTGCAGCGGGGTCCTGCATTCCAACGTTTGAGTTTTAGCGTGGATGAGAGTTTGTCTCGTGAGAGGAAACTTCAGAACCCAGAATAAAATTAACTGACACATACAACGGAGATGGACACTCGGCACCGCCATTACCAGGTCACTTCTTGCAGCCACAAACCTAAGACACCTGGGCAGCCCTGGTGGTCACACGTACAAGCACTCACAAGGCTCAAGTGTGCTCAGCAGCCGTGATCTCCTGAGATGATATCGGGGCATCTTTATGGGCGATTTGGTCAGAGGAATCTGACAAGCTCATGGGCTATTTGCATGTACATAGTGTAGCTTTCCTTGCTTTGAATATGCGCGGACCACGCAAGACGCTGATCCAGTGGTAGATTACTATATTTACAGGAAGTTAAAGGTTATGCAATGCAGCTGAGGCGCACCTGTGCAGCACTGATTAACATCACACAAACCTCAAGCGATTCTTAGATTTAAGAAAAACATACGTGGTTATATTTAAATATCAGATTGTATAATACAAATTCATGGGGAGTGGGTTTTTTTGTCCATGTGGAAATGTACACGCAATACATTATATATATCAACATTCACACTCAGGTGTTATCGGGTGCTGCATTGCTATGTTGTGGACAGCAGAGGGCAGCGCAGGGGAAAAAATCTAATTAACTTTATTCAACTTACCTAAGCAACCCTCCCCAGAGTGGTGACGTACGGTCTGCTAACATGCAGGGTATGGCCAGACATTCATCCAGCAGTGGATTTGTTGTCCTTCCCCTGCACCTCCGATTAGCATGGTTGGCTACGGCGGTGCAAAATAAGTTCAACATACATACATACAAGAGGGCTGTTACATGGACGTGCATCTTGTAAATCGGCAATTCGATGCATTATCACGCATCTGGGTCAAAATTTGAACTCTAGAATTGAATAATTTTGCCCATCTTATTTGTATTCATCAGCATTTTCTCTCTCATTTATATAATTTTTGTTCACTCGATTAGCAAAAAAATGTTGCACCATATAATTTGCAAATATTTTGCGTAAATTGTAAACATTACATTCTCACACACACGTGCATTGTAAGAATTTATTTTAGTTGGCGAATTCCATCCATGCGTAGTTAATGAGATAATTCTAAATAAACTTTTGCACTTAGTGGCTGATGGCCCATTCTGAGAAACCCTTTGACCACCCTTTGTTCACAATTGAATTGCAGGTCCCGATTTCAGCTGCCAATTAACATGGTCACACAGATGGGCAACAGCTTTTATAAAGAATTTAAAGCCAAGTGCGCGGCGGTTAGAGTTAATTGATGAATTGTACAGCGTCTCCTGCATAATTATGTTAATTTATCCGCAAACGTATCACGCGGGGAAATGGGGCACGGCGTTGGGAAGATGTTATCTCCCTCGCCTGGTACGCAGGACGTCATGGGTTCGATCCCGACACCTGTATATTTGGGGTTTGCGTGCCCCTCTCCCCGTGGGCGCGTGGAATTTTCCTCTGGGTCCTCCAGTTTTTCCCTCCCATTTAGAATAATCATGCGTTTAGAATATTTGGCTGCTGTACATTTCCACGTGATAAGCCAATTCGTTGAGCTGTTATTTGTGACCAGGTCGCTTCTGAAAAAGAGGTACATAGTTCAGTGGGCCATACCCAGGTAAAATAAAAATATAATAACACCGTTGCTCAAGTGCTGTTGGGTTCTTATTTGGCCCTCTTTGCTCACATGCAACTGCTCTCTCTCTCTCTGTTACCCATGTGAGCTTTGGTGGCCCTTAAAGCGTCATCGGTTAGTCGATCGGCAGGTAGCGTGTGGTGGAGTAGACTGTGAGCACTCCCAACTCTTCTATGATATCTGGCCAGTGTGGAAGAGAAGGACAAATGCCCTCTACTAGAGGGGCTCTCCAGAACTCCCTCTGACGGGAGGCCCCTTCTGCCAGCAGTGGCGTGAGCCAGCAATCGAGGTGCTGCACCACTGTTAAAGCATAGTCATCAGGCATCGTTGTCATTGTCATCATTATCATCATATTGAGAACCCTATCATTGCCACCTTAAACAGAAGGAGGATATAGCTTTGTCCTCTGCATCATTATCATAAGAAGCATGTTATGATCATCATAATTTTCATGAGCATCATCAATATAATTACGGAGGCAAATTTTACAAATAGGAGCATCAGAAGTTTCAGCATATTTGGGAATCTTCAACGTTACCCCTTGAAGATGCCACAATTTGTTGAACAGAGCCTCACAAAGAATATTGCCAATATCCTGCGAGTGTAATTTTGCAACCAGCAGAAAAAAGCGTTGGTTGATACCTCCCTCTGCGTGCGTGACCACAGGGTCTGCTCGTGCTGCCTGTTGACCGTCGCGTTGGGCGACATGTGTGCGTGTGACAGGTACCTGACGGACGGCGGATCGGGATTTTCCAGCCACAAGCTGAGCCTCTTTCAACCGGGCCCCCAAGCGCGATCCAAGGTCCCACGGGTCATGTCCCTCACCCCGGGAGAAGGAGACAGGCAAGGCCCCACACCCCAGCTCACGTTGCCCAACCCACACCTCGCCCCTTCCCATCTGTCGCACGCTCCGCGTGTCACCCTGCCCCAAAGACAAAGAACTCCCTGCCCCAAAGACAAAGAACCCCCGTGTGGCCTCTTGCAGGCTGTCGGGGCAAGTGCTCTAAGTGAGCGCCTGCCAAGTCTGACACGGTGAAGGATGGGGTGGTGTGGAGAGCTCCACGCCCGGCCGTCTTTATCTCCCCAGTGCTGACTATTTATGGCCTGCATCAAGTACTCATTTAAGGTTGCGTTAACCTAGGGGAGGCCCAGTGCCGATTTTTTAATTACTCGACAAATGATGTTAGCCACGACCGGCAATTGAACGCAGGTGGCCGGGGTTCGTAGTGGAGTACACTCGCGAAGGCACCACCACTCCCCACTTTGTTCCACAACCCACCAGTCCCCCCCCCCCACACACTGCCGCGCCTCTCACCTCTCCACAGTTTGTGTTGCCTTCTCTGCCGCCACCGTTCTGCCACCAAGTGGCAGAAACTGAGCAGTCTTAGTTTTGCATTTTTATTGATTGGTTTGAATTGAGAGCAGGGTCGGAGCCAGGATTTTGACTTTGAGGGGGCTGACTTCAATATTCTGAGATATCCAGTGTATGTTTTCCAATGGGCGCCACAAATGTATAAAACAAAATTTATTGGATTTGAACGCGGAGTTTATTAATAGGTCGGAGCCGTTGATGTGGCTAATAAGTTTGATAAGTTCGAAAGGCTGCCGCTCAAGCAGCCTGCAGGGCAGCACAAGGTGGCAGCCTGCAGAATTTTGCAGCAGCCGGATATCTGGTTATCCCGATTACCGACTTTCCCAAAATTTGCTTGAGAGGAGTCTTGGGAAAAAAAAAACAACCACGTGACCATATATAAATCTAACCCATGCAAGCATCACTTGAAGACTTTATAATCAACTTATCATATTTTTTTTAGCTTAATAATAAATCTCGTCATGCGCAATGCACCAAATAATCCAGGTTTTTAATCCACTGAATCTGACTACTCTCAATGACAGCCACCTACTTTCTGGACAATGGGATTTTAATAATCATAGTGTAAGCTATTAATTATTGTCAAGACACCCACTCCATTGCTGAGTGTGCGTGTTTCTCACGAGAGTGGCACGCAGATGTCCCCACTGAGCAAGGGCATTGGAACACAGAGGATGGGGCTCTGTGATTGGTCGATTCGGCGGTTCAGTTCAGTTCATTTATTTGGTATAGCCCTGTGAGCCATTCGGCTCTTGAATCGGGTGCAACCGCAACAAACAAAAACACGAACAAGAAAACATCTTAAAGTGATTATGTGACTGTGCAAACAGAAAATACAGGAAAAAAATATCAAAATATTCCTGAAATAGCACCGTACACCAACGCTGTGTGCAAAAATCCCAGTGGGATGCAAGTCAAATAACAACAACAACCACAAGACAACTAAGATTAAAGCCATCAGTCTAACTCCGTACTACAATAAACAAAACATGGCCAAAACAAAAAAAAACTTTTCGAAATCACCAAAATAAAAGCCATAAATCCAATGTAACAGTGATCATAGGGACTGTGACCGAATTTTTTACAATAAACTACGTAAATAAATTATAACACCAAAATCTAGAGCCATATTTTAGGCCACTGAATAGCAGTGGCAGCTAGGGTTGTACAACTCCTCTAGAACAGTTTTGAGTGAAGATCTCATAGGTAGTGATTCAAGTTGCAGTTTATTGGCAATGGCATTCCAGACCCTGGGGGCATCAATAGCAAAGGCCCTTCCTCCAGTTTTTGTACGGCAATAGGGAATGTGAAGCTGGTAAATGAGCGAAGACCTGAGGTCAAATTTGTTCTTTGAAACAGAGAGGAGATCCAGCAGGTAGTCTGCGGAATTTTTTGTAAGTACATCGTAACGGAATTACGGCACGGGACACAGAATGGCATCGTCATCATCGCAAGTTGTAACGCCGGCATCGTGTCTAGTTTTGAATTGGAAATGTTGTTAGCGCAGCAGGTGGGCGCGGTTACTCGAAGGAGCCCGTGCTATTGATTTATACAATTGTTTCGTCCAGTTGACTTGCATTATTTATATAATCATGTTACCGACACGTCGCTCATATGCTGTTTATTTTCTCCAAAAATGTTTTGTAATGAGGGTGGGGGGGCAGAGATGGTGAGAGGTGGAGGTTGCCACCTCTTTAGATCCAATACCACGGGAACATATCATGGGAAGAACAATATCTAATAAATACCCAAAGAGGTGGAAACAAAATGTAAATGTAATTTCTTGAGTATTCATCTTCTTTGGTTCTTTCGGTAAAGTCACGTAGAATGAGAATAAAATAATAAAATGATAAAACATTTTTTTTATCAATTTATAATTTTATTCTCATAAAAATTTTTTTTTATCAATTTATAATTTTATTCTCATTCTAAATAAATTGATAAATTTTTATTAATTTATTATTTTATTCTCATTCTACGTGACTTTACCGAAAGAACCAAAGAAGATGAATCCTTGCAGTCACGAAAGCTTTAAATCGAAATTCTTGAGTATTATTATTACGCAAAGGATACCGGCATGCAATGGCAGAGCCAGGATTTTCAGGTAGGGGGGGCAACCCCTCCAGCAATGACAAATGATAGGAGTTGTTAGTAAGTAAGGAGTTGTTAGTAAGTAAGGAGTTGTTAGTAAGTAAGGAGTTGTTAGTAAGTAAGGACTTGTCCCTTGATTTTTATTCGACGCGTGTGTGGCGATGGCGCAGACATCGATCGAGGGTCGAATTGGAACCGCGTTGTGTGATCGGCATCGCGCTCGCTGAAGGTGCTGCTGCCTTCAGGGAAGTCGTGTACTGTATACGCAACCGTGCATAATTCTGAGTCACTTATAACTGCTTTGCCATTCCTTATTGCCAATTATGGACTCAGACCATTGTCCTATTATCTCATAGAGTCCCTGGCACGTAATAATATGCTACACAGTGGCAGTGGGGGTCGCAAAATGCCGATTTATTACTAATAAACCCCAATGATCCGAAAGAAATGAGGGATTTCGATCGTATCAGTGGGGGGGGGGCACGTGCCACCCTACCCCCCCCCCCCCACTGGCTCTGCCAGTGCCGGCATGGGGCGACCTTCATCCAGCAGTGGCTAGACCAGGGGGTCGGCAACCTGCGGCTTGGGAGCCTCACACGGCCTTTTAAGGATCGGTCCGCAGCATTTATTTATTTATTAAGGAGACCTCCAATGTCTCGTATTCACCGCAGTGCATTTGCAGCTCTTGGAATATTGAGGGGTTTTTTTTTGGAATAAAAAATTAAAATATTTTCTTGTTTATTTAGGTTGCGATGATGCTGACGATGATCAATGCTAACTCTATATAATTGGTTTTATCACGGTTAACAAAAGGGTTTCAACTCCACCGTGAGTGGTGAATTCTGTGAGAAATCGATTGGGATTAATTATTCCCTTCAATGTGCAATGAATCATCCCGGTGCAGCTGCTACGTGGCTCATTATTACGGTCGAAATTTAATATCACTAAACATAAAATTTTCTTCTTAGAACTGTACAATTTACATCTATGTATATACGTAGAACTTATTTTGCACCGTACATAGTCAACCGTGCAAAATCGGATGGTGCTGTCGTTAAAAAATATTAATCTAGAATTGGTATCCTTAATCTAAAGACCTATTTGAGACCAAATCTCCCAATCTCAGCAGAGCTTGGAAGCCAAGCAGGGCAGAGCCTAAATAGTGCTTGGATGGGTGATCACCGTCAATAACAGGGATTATAGCCTCTGGTAAGCAGCAGCAAGGTGGAGTGAGGTCAAATCCATTGTTGTACATTATTTCTACTCTCCTAATCTATGCTCCCCGCCTTCACCAACCAGCGCTATCTGGTGTGGTGAAGCATGGTCAAATTACCAAACACGACCTGCATGGCATGCGGTGGTCCTCATCATCCAGCAGCGGATTCACACAGTGCTGTACGTGTCACATGAAGTCCGGCGTCGATTCCGAATCTCTTTTTCAAGGGTGACCTGAGGTAATGTGTGGGAAAAAACACGGGGTTTGTTGTTGTTGTAGTGAGCCATATGGCTGCCCATAAAACACTTCACTGCTGTCGTCATTAACAAACGCAGCCCTGTAACTGCAAAACATGCAACGAGCTCGTGTTTCAGGGAGCGGGCTTTCTTCTCCGCTGCCACGAAACGCGGTCGCTGAAGTGATGTTTCCCGGCTGGCCATGTTGGCTGTGTCGCGTGCGGTGCTCGGGGGGTGGGGGGGGGGGGCGGGAGGAGACGCACGGCTGAGCGCGTTCGTGTGGGTACCTCGACGCGTATGAATGCGTGGGGTGGTGTGTCGGCGGTGTGTGCGTGTTCGTGTTTTGGCGTGCACGTGTATGCGTGCATATATTCGTGCACGTGACCGTTCGATTTGTGTTCACGGACAGCCGTGGCACCGGACAACCCGAGTTTGATTCCCGCTCATGACCAATAACAGTTGCGAATATTTGACCTGGTCCTGGGCCTCCCCTTGGTCTACTCGCCCTGAAATTGCGTAGCTGGCACGGTGTGTAGTAAACATCGCCACTGGGAAGACAAATGCAGCCGGTCGTGGTGCTGGCCACCCACCCCCTCGTGTGCCGTGTTGGCCTTCATAGGTGCTCGCTAACAGCACTTGACCCAACAGTCTGTGAACAGCTACACGGCGCGATCTTTATCCTTGCTAGTTGGTACACACGTGTGTGTGTGTGTGTGTGCGCGAGCTCGTTCTCACTCTTGCTGCGTTCGTCCCTGTGCCCTCAGCTGGGAGGATAGTAGCTCCGTGAGCAGTGGACTCAGCGACACCATCGACAACATCAGCACGGACGACCTCAACACCAGCTCGTCCGTGAGCTCCTACCCCACGACGCCCACCAACAGCCGCAAGAATCTCAGCCTGCAGGTGAGAGCCCGGGCGGTTTGAGCGACCGATGACGACGATGATAGGGATCCTCGTAAACAGGAATCGTGAATGTATGTATGTTGAACTTCTTTCGCACCGATCGTAGCTAACCGTGCTAAACGGAGGTGCGGTGGAAGGACAACAAACTAAATACAATGTGCTGGTAAGCGTGGCTTTGATCTTCCGCGAAGCTCCTGGTCGACCCTGCAAACACCTCGGCAGATGTAGATACCTGATGCACAAAATGGGGAAAATGTAAAACTCTCCAGTAGTGTGTGACTGTGGTCATCCAGAACAGACCGTGCAAAATATAACGACGTGATGCCCAATCCACAAATACGAACAGGAAATCACGGCGACGCACTCCGCTGCTCCTGACGTGGTTGTCCGGCTTGACCACCAGAATGTGACATTGTAGTCGTTGCTCTGCACCTACATCAGCCGTAAAAAAGAAGACGCGTGCTATTGCGCGTACACTCGAGGAACGTTCACGCCTCCGCTGATTCGGCGAATTGTCGTGATTCTAGATCACGATTCGGGATCACAACTGATCATCTCGTGCACTCAGTATTACTGTCTGATTTGTATTTCCCTCCCTCTCTTGTTGTCTTGTCTGTACCGTATCACCATTAGCCTGACACATGGCGTTTGGAGCTAATTTGCACATATGCTTTACATTGCAAACCATCGATTGTTCCCCTCACGGTTTGCTGCATCTATCGAGAGCGTAATAATGCTTGATCAATGGATGCATTAATTAGATGCCTGCTATACAGTTTTAGCCTCTTACTTTGAGACACTTGCAGCTATACTTTCCAGTGGTCTCGGTCCTATAGAGATTCCCTGGGCCTCCACTGATACCGCCATGTAAATACGAGACAGCTGCTCTCTGTGGGCTCTGGGAGAAATAACATTGCCACTTTCCCAAAGCCTGTCTCTCTGCACAAATATAAAGAGAATATAACGTGATGCAGATGTCGGGAAGGACAAGGGACATCGTGAACTCAGGGCTCAAATTTCAAGACGTCATGCGCGCGCACAAGCCTATGACCTTAATTTTGAGCGACGGCACGCTTGAATTCTAATGGGGAAGTATAGTCGGCACCAAATATTGTGCAGTGAAAATAAGGAAGAGAAAATTAGGAAGAGGGTGGAGTGGTGGCGCAGTGGTTAGCATGCTGAACCTGGTGACCTTAGTTCGTGAGTGGTGCGCAGTGTCTGGATCAGTCCTGGTGACCCCCCTTCATCGATCCGTATTGACCAGGGTGATGGAGTGTGGTCAACAAACCTCCACGGTCGAAGGGCATTGGGAGGCCTTCATCTGGCAGTGGGTTCATAAAATTCTACTTTTATTTAATTTAGAAAAAAATACAGAATGGCTAGTTACAGAATTGTGTTTCAAAAAAGCATGCGCACATGGATTTTTGCCATTGCCGAAAATTAACCGGTGTCGTTTTAACGATTCAATTGGGTAAATTTTAAAAAAATATTTAAAAAGCAGAATGCTTCCGATGGAACCTAGCAACATCTGCTCTGAGGATATTAATTCCCCTCCCAGATTTCTTCGTGCAAGTCCACCTGGCTTTTAGTTCCCAGAATAAGCACTGGTCCCATAGATCTTATTTGCATCGGTGTAGTTTTGCCTTTTCTCTCAAATTTAATTCCAATTGTGCTGTTAAATGAGTAACTTTCCATTCAGGCCTCTGGCAGCTTGCAGTCCACCACGTTGTGCGGTATACACCATCCCAAAAGATGACCTCACTTGAAGCCAAAACTATTTTATTTCACCAGGTAGAGCCTACTGAGCTATTAACTCTTCAGCAGAGGCGACCTTGCCACACTCTATAGCTCATCGAAGTGGCTTATATCACCACATGTGGGAATTTATAGTAGCTGCCAAATGACCTAAATGCATGTTTCCAAATGTAGAGGAAAAAACTTGAAGACCCGGAGAAATATCCACACGGCATCCAAATATACTACAAGCATTGTCAGGGTCAGGGATCGAACCCACGATCTCCTACATAGCCGGCGAGAGAGATAACCTTGCACCACCATGGTGCCCCACATTGATAGGCCTCTTTATCCACACTTGGGGCAAACCTTTAATATGCCGTTACATTCTTCATTGCATGCATATCAAACGGAAAGGTTTAATCCTCAGAGCTGGAATAAGTGAAATGAAACAGCACATTTGACGTGATTTATTTTGTGAGCAGCCATTGGTGACTGAGCTGAGTCATCGACTGATAATTACATTCGAGAACCCAGAGTTGCATAACAGGTTGGCTGCAACCTTGATTCGACAAATCAATCAACATTTTTATTAAAACTGGGTGAGCGCCCACTGAGATCAAAGGTCTCTGTTTGCACGGGAGGCCTAGGTGGCAAAGTAATACAGAAAGTAAGTGGCGAAAAAAGCAAAACAATGAGTGGCACGCTTAATCCTGTTCACTCGTCAACATCCCGACAGCTCAAGACGGATGCGGAGAAGTGCTCTCTGGGGGAGGGCGGCTCGGGGTGGTACTGCAGCCTCCCACGGGAGGGCCGCAAGAAAGCGGACTCGCGTGCCGACACGCGCTCCGGCACGACGGGCCGAGCCGGCGGAGGATACGGCGGTGGCGGCGGAGCGGGCGAATGGGGGGCCGCCGGGCGGCGTTCCGTGGAGGCGGGCGGCGGGAGCTCGCAGGCCGGAGGAGGGGACGGCGAGCGGGAGAAGAGGGCCCGCAGGAGAGGCCTCCCCGTGGCCGGGCAGTACGGGATGGGGAGCCGCGCGACGGCCGCGGCGGGCGGAATGACGGCGGCGGGGGGGGCGGCCGTGACGACGGCGGCGGCCGCGGGTGGGGCGGTCACGCCGGCCGGGGCCGCCTCATCGAGGATGAACAGCCGCGTGACGCAGCTCAAGACCACGGGTGAGGGTTTCACGGGGCCGGCGACCCCACGCGCGAGAACACACCGTGCTCGCTCTGTCCATGTCGCCGTTTCTTTTTTTTTTTCTCCGCGCGTTGTTCATCGCGTTTTTGCTTTCGTTGAAACGTCTTTCTTGCCCTGTAACCCTCAACGTCCATCGTGGGAACGAATTTTCACTTTGCTCGCCCGTGTTTGCAGGTAAAACGGACGATGCCAAAGCGTCCGAGAAGCGGCTCATGTCGCCCAAGCCCGTCCGCATCCAGCGGGCCGTGTCCGACGCGGGCCGCAGCGTGCTGGGCGGCGACGACACGCGCAAGCCGCCCTCCGGCCTCGCGCGTCCCAGCGGCGTGACCGCCACTGGCATCCGCAAGCCTGGCTCGGGCGCCAGCGGAGCGATGGTGACGGCCAGCGGCGCCACGATCCGGAGCGGCTCGGCGACCGTCGGCAAAATCCCCACGGCCCGGTCCGGCGGGCTCGGCGGGACCCTGAGCCGCGGCGGCGGCGCGGCCGGGAGGAAGATCAGCCTGGAGAGCACGCCGGTCACGGAGCAGATGGGGCTGATGAACGCGCGCGCTAGCCCGCAGTACCGCAGCCTGCCGCGGCCCGCCAAGTCGGCGTACGGCAAGAGCCGCTACACGGGGGAGATGAGCGTCGGCGGCGGGGGCGGCGGCGGCGGCGGCAGGGCGGCCGGCGCCGCGGGCGGGACGACGCTGAAGGAGGCGGCCAAGTTCACGCTCGGCGGCTCGGTGACGTCGCTCACGAACCAGACGGACCGCGAGAAGGCGATGCTCGCCGACACGGAGTGCGCCGCGTCCAGGGAGGCGAAGCTCGGCGGGCGCCCGGGGTTCCACCCAGGGTCGTACCAGCAGGAGCTGTCCTACTCCGGCGTCAGCTCGCCCGCGTCCCGCATGTGCGTCGGGCTCAGTCGGTGGCTTTCGCTGTCTCCGTGTGCGTGTGTGCGACGGGTTAGCCCACGGCACTTGGGTCTGTCCCATGACCTCGTGACGGCGAGCCTTCGGCACGTCGCCCGTGCCAGGCTAGACGTGCCTAGCCTGGCACGGGCGACGTGCGACGACACTGTCACTAAGTGGCAAGTGGCAGCTGTTCTCACTCTTGTGGTCGTATGTGCATGCCTGGGGAGCGGTCGGTTACCGGTCGGCGCATCGCGTTACGAACCCGGCGGCCCGAGTTTGATTCCCGCTTACAGACACCAACACCAGTGACGATTATTTGAACCGGTCATGGGCCTCCCCTAGGTCGACTCAGCCTCATATGAGTACCTGGTGTGGCGTGTAAACATCGCCACTCAGGAAACAAAAGCAGCCGGGCGTGGTGCTGGCCACCAACCCACCCCCTCGTGTGCCGTGCCGGCCTTCAAAGGTGCTCCTCGCTAACAGCACTTGCTCCAATAGTCTGCTAACGGCTAAATGCCAGGTCTTTGTCTTTGTGTGTGTACATGTGTGTGTGGAGGGATCCAGGCTTCAGGCTACCATGCTACACCACTGCTCCACACATTTCTGCCTTCTGCATTTCCCATCATTTACGGTGCCCGTTAGAGTAACCGACGCCTCTCCCACTGTGCAGGTCGTTCGGCTACAAATCCAAGGGAAAGGCATCGGCAGCAGAGTCGGCGGCCAAAGCCTCGGTCGGGCAGCAGCAGCAGCAGCAGCCCAAAACCCCGGCTCTGTCGATGCGCAGGCAGCTGAGCGGCGGCGCCGCCGTGGCCACCTCGAGCGAGGGCCGAGCTCCCGACAGCGGCGACGGCAGCCCCATGCACGCGGCCGCCACCGATACCGTCTCCTCCCTACGGGACGTTCCACCCCCTTCCTCCTCCTCGCCCGCCACCGCCGCCATCGCGGCGCGAGACTTCGACTATTCCCCCCTGCTCCTCCTGCCGCCGGCGTCCGACTTCGGCGCCCCCGAGTCTCCGCCGATGAGCCCGGCGTCGGCCAAGTCTGCCGACTCGTGCTGCCACGTGCCCGCCGCGTCCACGAGCCCCTACCCAAAGGGCGGCGCCAGCTACACCTCGCTCGGCTGCAGCCGCAACACCAGCTGCGAGTCGCTGGGGCCCCCCCCGGCCGCCGCGGGGTTCGGAGCTGGCCACGCCGAGGGGCGCCCGGCGAGCCTCCGCGGCTCGCCGGTCCACTACGCGTCGCCCACGTCGTACGGCTCGCCCACCCACCCGGCGGCGCACGGCGCTCGGGACCCCAAGGCCACGCCGCTGCTCCACCCGGTTGCGGCCACCGAGATGGGGATCGACGGTGGTGGCGGTGGCGGCGGCGGCGGCGGCGGCGGCGGTGGCAGCCAAGGGTCTCCGTCGAAAGCGGTGGCTGGGAAGTCACTGCTCGAGAGGTGAGTGCTGACGGTTCCCCTGAACGTGAGTGCATTTGTGTGTGTGTGTGTGCGTGCACATGCTGCTTGTGTGTTTGTGAGTGCCTTTTGGTTGGTATATTGCTCGACAATGATGTTCGCCGTGGCCGAATTTGAACTCGGATCGCCGTGTTCGAAGTGCGGTGTACAATCCTCTGCACCACTGCATGCCTTATACACATGGCTTGACATATATGGGTGTGCTGAAGTAGGAACTAATTGGCACGTTTTGTTTACGTGATAAACTTTTCTAATTAGCTGTGGCAGGCGGTGGACGGTTTTAATGACACATTTATATTTTCGCAATCTAACCAAATTTTTTTTTATGGATAATATTGGTCGCGAAAGCCTACGTGTTAAACTGAGCTATATATGAGATCCAACTGTTTCTTGCGCGCACTCGTTCAAGGTATGGCATGGCGTACGGGAGGAGCTCGGAGGAGATTGCGGAGCAGCAGAGGTGCCACTCCGTACTGGGACTGAGCGAGAGCCCCGACTCCCTGTCCCTCGCCCCGCTGCCCAGCCTGAGCTCACTCGCCTCGCGCTACCAGCTGCCAGGTGCCAGATTTCTGCCTCCCCCCACCCCCTGCGCATAAACAACTTTTCCATTAGATCAGCGGCCAGGCTCGGGCCTTGGGTCTATAACAACACGTCGAAAATCATCACGCACCGCTCGTTCAAAAATATGTGGATTCCGTACAACGATGGAACGGCGGGGTCCCACACCGACGTGACTCATTGGGTGATGAATATAATCGCCAGTTAGAAACTAACAGGGAAGGAAGAGTATTTTGAGATTTCAAAATATTTAGTTTTTTTCGTGTATTTTTCTTTATCACTGTTTTGCATGACAAACATTCAATTACGAAGCAGTGTTAATGATTCATTTGGGATTTTTTTTCCAATTAACGTTTATTTGTACATCTTTTATTTCAAAGCCACTTCCTTATCGCTTGCACTGTATTTAAGAGTGGAATAGTGTTGAACTAGCAGCCCTGCAAAAGAGGAGAGGCCCCCATGGCCACGTTGACTTGAGCAGTGCCGAGCTTAGCCTCGTGACACTTTCCCAGAATCCCCGCACTGCCCTGGGCCGTTGAAAATTTTGGAAAATTTGAGCTTGCCACGTTATTAGTCACCGTGTACCCCCCAGCGTTTAGTTTCCTTGTCTGCCAGCCCACACGATGAGTGGGGGCTTCACAACCACCAATTATTGGGCCGTGCTGGGATCTCAGCCATGGGAGCAACCACTGGCATTGACCTTGACTGTGCCGCCCATATGATTGTGTGCGTGCCGCGTGTGTGCATGTCTGTAGATGTGTATGTATGGATGTCCAGGCATGGTGCTGGCCACCCACCCCCTCGTGTGCCCCAGTGCCGTCCTTCATAGGTGCTACTCGCTACTAAAAGCACTTGCCCCTATAGTCTGTCAGAGGCTACACAGGGGGAATCTTTGTCTTTTGTGTATGGGTGTGGGAGGGGGCGGTAGTGTAGCAGTTAGCACGCTGCGCTACAAACCCGACCACTAGAGTTCGATTCCTGCTCACGGCTAACACCAGTGACAAATATCTGACCGGTCCTGGGCCTCCCCTCGGTCGACTCAGCCTCAAATGAGTGCCTGGTGTGATGTGTAAATATCGTCACTGGGGAAACAAAGGCGGCCGGGCGTGGTATTGGCCACCCACCCTCTCGTGCGCTGTGTCGACCTTGATAGGTGCTCACTAACAGTACTTGCCACAACAGTATGTTACAGACTGTATGGGGGATTTTTGTAATTGTGTATGGTTGTGCATGGGTGCATGTGTGTGTGCGTGCGTATTCCATGTATTCTGTATTATGTATAGTGTGTGTGTGTTCATCTGTTCACGTTCCAGCGCATTGTGACTATGAAGCTGGTGATCTGGGTTCCATTTCCAGTTGCTGATTACATAATTAACTAATTATGCCATGTGCCTCCCAGAGGTCAATTCGGCTTGGAATTGATTATTACTTTGTGCAGGGTGTAACTGCGGGAGACAAAAGGTGGCAAGCGATGATGCTGGCCACACCACCACCCCCTCTTGCGCTGCCAGCTTTAATAGATGGCTCGCTCAATTTCAGTTGGGTCAGTCTTCGCCCATGAGCCAAGGGAGTTTGGTCTGGTACCACTTAGGGTGCAAAATTCCCACTGATTTTCCAAGATAATTTAATCTAGAGATCACAAGTATATTGACATAGCAAGGGCATTGTGGTAACAATATGTTTTTGTTTAATAAAAAGGTCATGATGTTCAAAATTGCCATTTTTCGAATATCTCTATATTTGGGTCGGTGACCCAGAAAATACGGTAATTCCACTCCCGGAACACCACATCCACAATAACCTCTCGCTGTCGCTGTGGATACAGGCCTGGTTAACCTACTTTAGCATAAATTTTGATTTAAAGCTTTCGTGACTGCAGGGATTCATATTCTTGGTTCTTTCAGTAAAGTCACGTAGAAGGGAAACAATAAAATAATATTGTTTTATATTTTTATTATTTCATTGTTTCCCTTCTATGTGACTTTACCGAAAGAACCAAGCATACTTTAGCATAGTCTGAAAAATAATAGTTATTCAAACACCAAATGGATACCTTTTGCAAGGAATCAAGTCTGCATTAACCAAACCTACTTGTGTTGAACATGCAAATAAAACATGCTCTATAATACATTTGTAATTACTGGCGAAACGTCGTACTCAGATTGTAAATGTTGTGGCTTTGCTCTCCAACACACCGGTGTGCTGTATTAGTAACAAATTGGCAATTTCTGTTTACGTGACAAACCTTACTAGTTGGCTGTCCGGTGGTGGCGGGTTTAACGACACAATTATATTTTTATGCAATCTAACCCTAAAACTTGTTTTATGGATATTGGTCGCGAAAGCCTACGTGTTAAAACATGCTCTGATCATTCTTGACTTAAAGCTTTCGTAACTGCAGGAATTCATATTCTTTCGGTCTTTCGGTAAAGTCACATTGATAGGTTCAAAGAAAATTAAAAAAATAACAAAAAACTACGTTTCGATCGCAACAGGAAGACGAACGCTTGTGTTGCGATCGAAACGTCGTAGTTTTTTGTTATGTTCTTTGAACCTATCTATGTGACTTTACCGAAAATCCCAAAGAATATGCTCTGATAATATACTGGGCATCGTCTTTGGAACTGATGGCCTACACAAGAGACGGCCTTCTTTATGGCCAAGTCTCCCCAGTATCAGACCAGAGAATGCCAAAACGCGAACAGTACAAAGGCAATGCCACACATATCACAGCATTTATATCTTGGGGTGAGCAGATATATCATGGGACCGGACCTTTTTGGTTTTTAATACTGGCAAAAAAGGTCCCACTTCAGCTTAACCAACGACATGGGAAACATTCAGTGCGTGCAACGATTAGCACGGTTGGCTACGTACGGTGCGAAAGAAGTTCAACATGCACACGTGCATACAACTAATGGGACTGGTCGCGCTCTTTGTTTTTTGCTGTTGTCTCCGTTCCAGTGAGCCCGAGCCTCGCCAGCCCGCCTCCGGCGAGTCCGCCACCGTCACCGCGCTTGCTGGGGCCCCAGGGCTCCTTCGAGCAGCTGGGCCGAGAGGGCCCGGCCAAGCGGCTGAGCGCCGCCTCCCTGGACGGACGACCCAAGGCTCTGAGCCGCTCCACCTCGTTCCGCGACTGCACCGAGCAACGTGCGTGCGCTGCCCTCTCGTGGCCACTGCGAGTGGGAGGTGGCGGAGGGCATTGCAGGAGGGGTCGGGGGGGGGGAGTTGAAGGAGGGTGGAGAGGCAGTCCTAGATTTGGGAAGAGAGAAGTTTGAATGTCTTGGTGATTAAGTTACTGCAGCGAATGTCTTCGTTGTCTCTCGCATTTCTTATCTTTGAAAGGACTTTCTCGGAGTCGAGATTGTAGACTATATTATTATTTGGTTTAACACGTAGGCTTTCACGACCAATAGCATCCATAACATCGTTTTTTTTGGGTTGGATCGCGTAAATATAAATGTGTCCTTAAACTCACCACCATCCGACACATCCAATTAGTAAAGGTTTGTCACGGAAACAGAACGTGCCAATTTGTTACTAGTACAGCACACCGGTGTGTTGGAGTACTCAGATTGTGAATGTTGTGGATTTGCGATGTTTATTTTCACTGGTGACCCAGTGACAAGAAGTAGAAATTCCACGTTACTATGGCAGGGATCAGTCTTGCCATAATACAATTTTAAATGAGTAAAAAAAAATGTTTGCAAGTAACAATGAGTTAGGTGAGAAAATTACTGTTGATTTACATTCTTTTTTTATTACACATCTGGATGGCATGATAGAATGTCTTTATTAATATTTTATCTGGAGATATAAATACAAATGTGCGTATTTGCTTTAATAAACATATTAGTAAGCATTAGTATTTTAAAAAATATATGTATATTTTTTGGGTTATAGACTGATGCAGAAACATGTAATATTTCATGGGGTCATTGTGTGTTTGTCTCTATCGCATTTATTGATTGCATTGTTGTAGGAGCAACAGTAACATCTTTAGTAAAACTCTCTGGTTCTTTTGGTAAAGTCACGTAGATAGAAAAAAGAATGAAATAAAACACAATAAAAAAATAAAACACAGTATTTTCTTTTATTATTAGACTGTGTTTTCTTTTATTATTTTTTCTATCGACGTGACTTTACCGAAAGAACCAAAGAGTATGGATTCCTGCAGTCACGAAAGCTTCAAATCAAGATCTTTAGTAATAGCTGTAGTAACGTAGTATTCATGTGCTATGAAGAAGGGCTGTTGTCCAAGACACAGCCTATTGCACATATATACTGCATTTCCTTTGAACGCAGTAATATTGATAAATGTCGTATTTTGTAGCATTAATGTGTAGTATTGAAAGCACTGCTATCAGTAACAGAGGCGGTAAGAGCACCATGCTGAACGAGTGCATTTGAAGCATGGTTGTTAAACGCCGACCCTTGTGCTTTGCAGTTCACGGGTCTGTCCTCTCCCTGGCCTCCTGCACATCGTCCATCTACTCCGTGGTGAGTGCTGCTGCGCTAATGTCTCGCGCTTCATTTGCATTGTCCGTTGGGCCCGCACTGTGAGTGCAGCACTCTCGTGCTAACTGCTAACAGGTAATGGCTTTGTGCTTCCCAAATTAATACGAGTAACAAAATGTACTTCCGGCTTCGCGTTTTCAAATTTTTCTGGTCTCCCCACAACTTCCTCCGGTCTATCTTTATTTCTCCTTCCCACTCCGACTGCCGATGTGTCTGAATTCGTTGCGTGAAATTAGTGACGGACAATGGTCTTGGCAAATAAGTTGGGGCACACTGTTGTAACGTCTCACTTGGTTACTGAAAGGCTGTTGTGCACCAAATTCGTTTTTTGTCACGAATTATTGTATTCCCAACTGCCCTTCGTTGTATTATTCAAGTGACGGACAAGCCTCGCCAATCCTTTGCTTTAGATTGGTAAAACATGATGGCACAGACCGTGGGCAAGTGTGCGTACCAGTCGTAGCCTCATTTAGCATGCACTCAAAGCTTTTGCTAATTCCATTAATTTATCACTCTTGAAAATTGCAATTGGTCTCATTAGCTAAATGCCAGCTCGCGTCGGTTTTCTTTGAAATATTGAGATGCTTTCGCTCTACCCTGTGCTTGCAATAATTATCGTACCAAAGATAATATGAGTAAGACGCTGTCTAGACCTTGTGATTTATAACCATCACTTATCACAACACACATTGATTTAGTTCCCCATGTCTGGCAATCAATTGGGTTTAACGCGTGACGTGAACGTGCCCTGCACACCGATTGTTCATTCTTACCCCAGCCGTTTGGCAAGACAATAGAGAATATGCCTTTTGCTTGATAAATCCTCAATTTTCATTGGCAGGACGATAGGTGGTTAATCAGTGGTTGGGTCACCAATTTGTTCTACAATTCCCTCCCCTGGGTTTTACTAGATTGTACGTAATGTATTCTATTTTTGAAGCTTTCGTGACTGCAAGGATTCATACTCTTTGTTTTTTTCAGTAAAGTCACGTAGGTAAAATAAAATAAATGAAAACAACTAAATGTTTTCATTTATATTATTTTACCTACGTGACTTTACCGAAAAAAAACAAAGAGTATGTACGTAATGTCACAAGGGAAAAGTATTCACAGAGCAGTGAAACCCTTCACGTTCGAGATCAACCCAACAGTAGGAGGTCGCCTTTTCCAACACTCTTCGCCACTGAGAGCAATGTTCGTCGAGTGACAATCAAACTGATATTGTTAAGTCTCAGAGATGGAATGTCACCAAATTAAGTGAGGAACCAAAAGTTAATTGGATGGCTTTTTTTTTTCCGGTGCATTCATTGGTGGAATCTAGATCTCAGCGGTGCCAGCTCAGCTCTGACCTCTGACCTCTGAGCCACCGGGCTACCTCGCCAATGCGTTCACTTTGGTGGCTCATTCCTGTGATCCAGTGCTTTGGAGGCAAGGGTTGATGGATCTCAAAGGGATTTGTAAAACCCTTCATTGTGTTTGCCCAGAAGTTTGTCAGGAGATAGTAGTGGAACAACATTAATCTTAAATCCATCTGTGTGGAGCTTTGTGTGCTATCCCCTCCTATGCGTGGTAGATTCTCTCTGCTTACTCCGGATCCTCCCACTCTGCCACTTGATTGTGAAACTACAACTCCCGTCTACAAGACCAGAGCTTCACCTTGATTCAGTCTACCTTGATTAATCAGCCCGAAGGGTCCAGCGAAACACCGAAACTGAATTGACCACCAACAACTCAAGCGCATTTAATAAGTCGAGCGTTGGTTCAGCTGGTTTTGCTTATGCGTCACGTTCGGCTTCCGCTGGAATGCATATTACTTGATTCTTGAACAGAGCTGGCTTTTGGTGGAGTTGTTGGGCAGGGGCGGGGGGGTCAAACTTTGAGTGGCTAAATGCCGCAACTGCAATTTTGTAAGCCCCCCCCCCCAACGAGAGACAGAGAGAGCGCCTCTAGCTGTGATCGGGGCTCAGTTTGGTCTCGCAGGAAGCGTCATCCTCAAGCCAGCTCTGACTCAACCAACACTCACTTGCTGTGGTTGTGAACGTCTTGTACCCTTTGGAAACACTCACTGACTTTGTTTTCTAACAGCCGGATGAAAAATCTCAGAGTGAGGTAGGTGTCATCGAAGTGGAGATTTTCGTCAAAGCATGAATAACAACACACTTCTCTTTCATCTCTGGCATCTGTCTGAGCCTGCATGTCAACTGCACTAAAGCGTCTGTTTACATTCTCTGGGATTCTCGCCCGGTTCCAAAACATGCTAATGTATTTGTCTTCATGAAATCATCCATTGACATTCAACTTTTCCAGCCATATGTGTGTCACATGGGTGTGCTTATGTGGTGGTAAAGTGCTCATTTGAATTTACATTTCATTGTGGAGATATTGGAAATAAACTCCACGATACATCTGGCCGGACAGTGTAATGGTAATTCGCTCGGCTCACAGCTGAGCGGCCATGGGTTCGAATCCATGCCTGGGATCACCTCGACCATCCGTCCCGGGTGGATAAGAAGAGTACCACCTTGATGGTATTGATTGATTATGCCATGTAAATAAATATTTACTGTATGTCCATTAAAATAAAATGCAGCGCAAACGGAACGACCTGCGAGGGCACAATCTTCCGCGTTGGCTGTTGGTCTCGCGGGGGCGAGCTTCCTGGCGTGAGATTTCCCCATGGTCAGAACGGTCTCTGCTGCCACCTTGTGCCATCAGATCGAGACGCTGCGCAGGGAACTCGACCAGTCGCAGGATAAAGTGTCGACGCTCACCGGCCAGCTCTCCACCAACGTGAGTCAAGCCGCTCACCGCTGTACCGAGACGACATTAACTCCAAAAACAATACAAAGATCCCCCCGTATCGCAGGAACAGACTCTTGGGGCAAGTGCTGTTAGCGAGCACCTTATGAAGGCTGGCACGGCACACCAGGGGGTGGGTGGCCAGCACCACGCCCGGCCGCCTTTGTCTTCCTCGTGGCGATGTTGATACACCGCACCAGGTAGTCAGTTGAGGATGAGTTGACCTAGTGGAGGCCCAGGACCGGTCCAGATAATCGACCTCGGGTTTCCCAGTTCGTAGCGCAGCCCGCTAACCGCTGCACTACCGCTCCCCACGTTTAACTTCACGCGCACACATACACAACATTTATGCATACAGACTGGGGATGTGCTCGAGATTATTTCTTTTATTTATTTGCAAAATCTGCAAATCGGGACCACATCCGAAATTTTGGACGATCCGCTCTTTGTTGCAATTTGGATTAAATCCGAAGAGGTAAGTGACATCATCACTATTACAAAACTTCCACGTTTTGCCCATCAAAAGTGGAGTCACGTAGCGTCGAGTGACGTCACTTTTGATAGCATGAAGACCATAACTATTCAATAAGGTAAATTATCTGAAAAAATTATTTAAAATACCAAAGCAATTTTTTATTCCAAATTCATCTATGTGTGTATGCACATATATATGTAGCACAGTGGCCAGCGCATTTCGCCATGAACCCGGCGACCAAAGTGTAGTGGCAATATTTGAACATGTCCTGGGCCTCTGCTAGGTTGCCTCAGCCTTAAATTAGTATTTGGTATGGTGTATAAAAATCAGCACTATGGGGACAGGCGGCCTGGCATGTTGTTGGCCACCCACCCCTTTGCGCGCTGTGTCAGCCGTCATAGGTGTTCGCAAACAGCACTTGCCCCAACAGTCTGTTAAAGGCTAGTACAGGGGATCCTTGGCTTAAATACCGTAAAACCTTGGATTGTGAGTAACTTGGTCTGCGAGTGTTTTGCAAGACGAGCAAAAATTTGATAAACGAGCAAGGTCTTGCAATACGAGTAGTACGTATACGATTTGTCTGCCAACGTCACGTGATCACAACTGATATACGAGTGCTTTGGATTACAAATACGTTTCCGGAACGAATTATGCTCGCAATCCAAGGTTTTACTGTATATACATACTCCTCTCCATCGGGCCCCAACAGCAGGTTGTTCTTGCTTAAGCCCATTGCAAAGGTGGTAGGTTTTCTTGGGTGTGCTGCAAAGGGTGAAACGTTGGACAACACCCCGCGCAACCCGAAAGCTGATCTGGCAAGAGACATTTCATCTTGTTGACGAGCGGATGGCGACGGTGTGCTTGTTGTAGCTGAAATATATTTATAATTTCTTACAACCAATACTGGCATGCCCCAACTTCATTTTCGTGAGTGACGCACAAATAATTATCCTGTGCTGGTGGCATAAGCACATAAAAGTAAGATGTGATTTTTTTTAATCGCTTAAAGGAAAGAGCACTTAATCCGGCAGGCTACAGCCCTCTTAGATTCGTGTTTCCTGGTCATATTAGAGTAAGCTATGCAACCCTAGACCAGTTCTGACGTCAATGAGCCACATCAACAATGTTACACATTTCTCAGTGGAGTTGAAAGCATACCAATATTATAGAACGAGGCAGGTGACTTTAGAAATGTATGTGCCTAGCATCTTGAGATGCGGTTGTATTTGTACATGGAGAGGTAGAGCCCTTTTCTTTTAACACCACGTCTGGATGAGGGCCTTCCAACGCCATGGGGGTGTTGGGAGTTATTTGACCATACTTTATGCTGGTGAAGGCAGGAGCATGGTATAGCATGCCAATGAAAAATAAAACTATTTAAAGCTATTTTTTTAATTTTACAAGATAAGGCCCACTGAGCTATGTAGCTCTTTTTTAGAAGCGACCTGGCCACAAATGATAGCCAAACGAAGTGGCTTATCATCATGTGGAAATTTATAGCAGACAAATACCCTAAAAGCATGTTTCCAAATGTAGAGGGAAAACTGGAGAACTTGGAGAAAAATCCATGCAACCACGGGGAGAGAGACACACAAACTCGAAATTTACAGCAGGCATCAGGGATCAGGGGTCGGGATCAAACCCACGACCTCCTGTATACCAGGCGAGTTAGTTAACATCTCACCACTGTGGCACCCCTGCTATATTTTAAAGCCATATAAATCCAATTTGTGTTGCATTGCATAGACAGGCATGACATGTTATGGAGATTCGTCGAGGCTTTCCTGGGTACACAGGGATATAATAAATGTAAAAAAATGTGTTGCATCTCCAGGTTAGATCTTACGCAAATCCAATTAATATCATATCGTATAGAGTGGATGTAAAACATTGCAGGGTGATGGCGGTGAATGGAGGTGAACGATGGTGGCTTCTCTTGCAGGCAAACCTGGTGGCAGCATTTGAAAAAAGCCTGACCAGCATGACGAGCCGCCTTCAGAACCTGACCGCGTCGGCCGAGCAGAAGGTGGGTGATTGCGGTCATCATCATCATCATCAATATCATCGACATCACCTTCTGATTAGCACGGTCGGCTATGTACGGTGCGAAAGAACTTCAACGTACATTGTCATAATGATGATCATTATCGACATCACCTTCTGATTAGCACGGTCGGCTACGTTTGGTGTTAAAAAGTTCTATGTACTTACAGTAGCCATGGTCAATCCACTGCAGTATGTAGGCCTTCCCAAGCCGCCGACACTTCTCGCGGTACTGCCATGTGACGATCCACACGGACTTATTTCATCGCACGCGTACAGACAAAGTAAATATTCAAAGATTGACAAACTATGAACAAAATCACTGGTTGGAAATGTGATTAGATATATATACACTTCTAATTCCCCTAATCCAAATTACCAATTAATTTGAAAAATGAATCATGTATAAAACATTTATAAATTATAAATGTAATGAGAATACATTTAAATTCCGTGTATTTAAATTACATATAATTTACACGTAATTTTAATCTATCTGTCCATGCTTAGAGTAGATGCAGGGGCTTGCATGAAGAAATTCACCTGGCGAATGTGAATCGAAAATAATTTAATCTCGCACGCACATCTTGTTGCACTCCTCCTGAACGTTGGATTTGATTTTGATCACTTGATCACTTAATCAATGCATCGCTACATCCCTTCAGTGCACATTAAAGCAATGCTCTCAGAGCTTTGACATGCATCACAAAAAAAACAAAATGGCTCGTGCATTGTTATGCAACACCTTTGCGTAAACGGTAGCACAACTGAAATTTTCTTCACCGCCATACGTAAGTCGCATTTGCGCCCTTTGCCGGTCGTGACATTTTCACGCAGCAATCAGCCCTTAATTTAATACTCGTCCTGTGGCGCATGGGATTTGCCAAATGTCACCGGACTACAGCTGAGACCCACGCCCCCCCCCCACCCCCACCTGCCCCCCCCCCCGCTCCCCTCACCCCCCCCCCCCCCCCGTGTCCCCTCCTGCCCCAGGATTCGGAGCTCGGCGAGCTGCGGAAGATGATCGACAACCTCACCAAGGAGAATATGGCGGCACAGGAGGCGATGAGCGGCGTGCTGAGCACCACACAGCAGAGCAACACAGGTGCCATGCCGCACCGTCGAGCAACCACACAACCACAGAACACCACAATGTGGCCTGGCATGAAACAAACTCTCCGGCGATAGAATGATCTGCTGTTGAATTTCGGGATTGGACTGAATGCAAATGCTGTCTCGTGATATACTGAATTATCACCACTGCCACCACCAACGCTATTGTCACTTTCTTGATTATCATCATTGTCAACATACGAAGCGTGACCTTCAATTCATAGTCATTGGTCCGGTACCCCCACCACTGTCATTTCAGCACGGTTGGTTACATGTGGTGTGAAAGAAGTTCAACATAAATGTATTAACATCGTTATCAATCATCATAATTGTAATCACCAACACGACCACCACAACTATAATCACCATGATAACATAACCATCGCCATCTCCAGCACAACTATAATCACATATCTGAAAGTCGATCTTTGTCAAATCGTCATCATCGTAGCCACCATGACTCAACGACCCCTGACCCTGGACATCGCCGCCCCACCAAAACTAGCGTGGTCCTCGCGCCAATCTCCGTTGCGTGCTGTCGCCTTGCAGGAAGCCTGTCCCCGCAGGCCGGTGAGCCGCGTCTGCACCGGCAGAACTCGTGCGAGAGCATCTCGAGCGTGAACAGCATCACGAGCCACTCGAGCGCCGAGCTCGCCGACGCCAAGAAGAAGAAGAAAGGATGGGTGAGTCGGAGGAGGAGACCGACCGCGCACGCCGCGCTCCACCGGCGCGCCTCGCTGTGTGTGTGCGCGCACGAGCACCGAGCGTGGGTGCGAAACGTGCGCACAGACTGCCGGTAAAGTCCCAATGCGCTTCATAGCACGCGGTGATCCGTTTATCGGGAGAGGCGAAGGCGCAGCTCTGCAATAGCTCGCTCACGCCACTGCTGGCCGAAAGGGCCTTCGCTGAGCGGGAGCTCTGGAGAGCCCTAATAGAGGGGTGCTCTTTGGCCAACTCTTCCATGCTGGCCTATCATCTTGGAAGAGGTGGGAGTACCCACGCTTTACTCCCACCATGCGTGTGACCTGCCGATCAGCTCGCTGTGGTGCACCAATTTATGCAGAGTCCTACAACGCTTTTCAGGAGGTTCCTGCCATTTCTTTTTTTTATGGAGTGTTTTGTGTTTGCGAGGAAAGGGTACGCCCTGGTGTCGACCATACCACCACCTCAGTGTACTGCGCTGGCCTTGGTAGGTCCACACGGAGGACCTACTTGCCTCCCTATGGTGTATGTTCTATCTCATGAGACCGATAGTCACAGTGCCCTCTGCTAGAGTCTCGGTGACCCCGAAGTTTATCGCTGGGCTCGTGAGGTAAGTTGCTGGGTGGTGATGTGGTAGCACGATTTGGGTTTTTTTTACCGAGGCTTCAGTGCTGTCTGACTCTGCATTGTGGGCTCCCTTATGAGGTATTATCTTTCACAACTCCTCGCTGAGTTTGGACACAGGATTGTTTATATCCAAACTTTCATTCACTTTCAATTAAGATGTTTACAACATGTTTTCTTTGAATTCCATTTGCTTTTTTTTTTATTAGCTTTCAATATCTTCCATTTCAGGCTTTCATAACATTTCAGTTTCAATTTAAACCGTTAATAAAACTTTAAAAAAATATCTCACTGGAACCCCATTTTCATCTTTGATCAAACATTTCAACCTGGATCAATTTAACTAATTCGTTTTTAAATAACCCTTTCAGCATCATGCCAGCTTTAAGTTTTTTACAGACAATAGCGATGCCAGCCGTGGCACCGGTCGGAAAAGGAAAGCAGCAGGGACATACGAGCAATAGCGGAACTGCCTGTTGGTTGAACAACAGCGGTGGTGGAGCCGAGATGGGCAGCAGAAGGACGGGGGGGGGGGATGTTACTTCGTGTTGACTCGCTCACTTCTCTTTGCCTTGCCGTCAATGGTGTTGTCAAATATTGTTCTTCTCTCCCTGCTCGCCGCACCACCACCACCACCACGCCCAGGGCAAAGCGGGCAAGGTGATAACCGCACACGCACATTAGCATGCACCGCCGCTTTCCCTTCCAGCCTCTTAGAACTCGGGGGAGGGTGGGAGGGGCAAAGGGGGGTATGGGTGAGGGCTTTAGTTAAAGGTCCCCCGGTTCGGTTACGAAGAGATTTGGCGTACTTTTGTTCCATGCTAAACCCAACGCACCGCTGCAAGGCTTTGTTCTATTTTTTGCATACGCAATTGCGATAGTTTTTGTTTGTTTGTTTTTAAAATACAAATGAAATATTGCCGAAAGGCACAACGTGAGATTGTAGGGGTCTCAGAGCCGGTCACACGTTGTGCCAGGAAGTTGTCTTTGTTCAGCCTTTTGGCTTTGGCACCTGACCGGGTTTAAATTTCCTTCTTAAACACCTTCCACGATATGAAATGATGGGTATATTACCCATCCACTTTTAAATACAGTTGGTTTATGAATCAAAGTGACACCTTAGACAATGTTATAAATGAAGGATGGTTTCGTTTCAAACTTTTTTTTCTCGTTAAATTTGATTTGGGTGGCCACTAGTGTTTTTTGGGGATTTGTGCAATCCTTGTTTATATATATAAAAGGTTGTGTGCACATTAGGTATGATAAATACACATACATAGTAAGTGGGATAAAGTTATTATTTATTTATCATACAACAGGAGGAAATGTCACAAATAAAAAACTCCCATAACATGTCCAGCATTCCTCTTAAATAACAACAGACATTTTCTTCGACAATAATTATACCAGGTACACAAATAGGCTCATTTGTATAAAGGCATTTTTTTTTTACTTTGTTGCTTTGAGTTTATCATCATTCATAACACCAGCAGCGGCAACAACAGCAACGTTAAGGTTCAGGGCTTCAAGTAAAAAAAAATCTATCCCTCAAAGAACAAAAATCTCCATCGCCACTTGCGTCACAAGCGAGGGGTCGTGCGTGTGCCCCAGTCCTTTAAAGTCGCAGTCTAGACTGAGGCTTATACCGCGCAAACCAATGCTTGCGCTCGCCACCGATGCAACCGATAACGCAATGATGGATATAACGTAACACTGTGCCATGCGGCACAGGGTAATTGCAGTCACCTTTCGGGAGGGCCAAGGCCAAATTACTTAAATAATAAATAAAAACAAGTCCGCGTACAGCGTCCACGTTGGAGTGTTTCATTGCTTTTCTCTCGCAATTGTACTCGGGCCGTGCTGTTGTGCGTGGCATCGTGTGACAGACAGAGAGACCTTCTTACAGGATTCCCGCAGCTAGCAGTGCACCTCCTTGTGTGCGAAAATGTGCCCCCCCCGGATTATAATTGCGCGGGATGACTGCACTTCTGAAGTCCCTTGCAATGGGCCTCTTTACCCACACTAGGGACACGCCTCCATCTTTAGAGAGTTAAAAAATTGGGAAAATTAGTTTGTTGTTGTGGCCAAAACAACCTAGGACGTTTTTTTTGCGTCGACAATTTCCCCGCATGTTTTGATCCTCGTTTTGCCGCGTTCGAACCGAGCTTTTATTTCGACTGTCAGCATGTGCGCGAAGGCCCCCCCCCCCTGGCGTGTGAATACAACAAGTCCCTTGTACCACACGGCAGTGCTTGCCGCCGCGTGTGAGCAGCCAGGGGTGGGGACCACGTGCGGCCCTATGGCCCCTATGGGCCCTATGGGCCGCACGTGGCCCACGACGTCGCTCCGCACGGCCCGCGGCCATGTGAGGCCTACCACTTCAAAATGGCCCCCCATACCATAGGTGGTAGGCCATGTGAGGCCTACCACTTCAAAATGGCCCCCCATACCATAGGTGGTAGGCCATGTGAGGCCTACCACTTCAAAATGGCCCCCCATACCATAGGTGGTAGGCCATGTGAGGCCTACCACTTCAAAATGGCCCCCCATACCATAGGTGGTAGGCCATGTGAGGCCTACCACTTCAAAATGGCCCCCCATACCATAGGTGGTAGGCCATGTGAGGCCATGTGAGGCCTACCACTTCAAAATGGCCCCCCATACCATAGGTGGTAGGCCATGTGAGGCCTACCACTTCAAAATGGCCCCCCATACCATAGGTGGAGTTTGACTTCTATATTTGGGGGGGGGGCGGTGGCAGGGGTTCGCTTTGTCCCTCACATTAGGAACGGCGCGTGGATACAGTTTGTTTATTTAGTTTTAATCTTAATTGTAAACTGTTGAAAATAAATTAATAAAAGTGCCCATTTTAGGAGGGGCGTTGCCCCCCCCCCCCCACCGTCGCAAACTCCGCCCATTCCCCCAAACGATAATTACCCCTCACTTGGAGCATCTAGAGCAGTGCTCTTCATTGCAAAGCCCGGGAGCCACTGGCGGCCCCTGACGTGGGGTCCCCGACAACACACAACATGTGAAAACACCCCCCCCCCCCATCATCATCGTGCTGCTGTCAAACCCCAATGGTTTACACATATGGGGCGGCCCTCACACTGATGATGTCTTATCGGCGAAAGTGCATCCCCCCCCCCCCCAACGCCCCTGAAAAATTGGTGAAGAACACTGCTCTAGGCTGCGTGTCTACTTTGCCACTGCGACGTCACAGCGTTGACGAGAGGAAGGTAGCTACATTTAGATTTGAAGCTTTCGTGACTGCAGGGATTCATCTTCTTGGTTCTTTCGGTAAAGTCTCGACTTTTACCGAAAGAACCAAGGAGAGAGGAAGGTAGATGCAGGCATCGCATTAGTGCAGCAAAGGTGAGCCCGAATTTAAAAAAAAAGCTTATTAGATAAATGTGTGTTTTAATATGTGATCCACCAAAGGAGTTTGAAAGTCCTTTTCGGGACTCGGTAAGGAATCTGTTACCCACCCCTCGTTGAAGCGGTGGCAACGCTGGGCTCCTGGGACTGCCGGTCCATTACAGTTTTCATGCATAACCGCATATGGGCCGACGGAGCCGATATAAACATAGTAACCAAACAATAACAATAATAATTCATCTCCTCCGTAGTAATTTTGTTTATTTTCCTGGTCATGCTGTACGGCTCTTCCATGCGTTTTCGGGTTGTGCCGCGTGCTGTACGGCATGACGTCCGACGTCTCGCTCGAAAACGCCGGACGTCGTGAGCAGTCTCCAGCACGTGGAGCATGGGCAACTCAAAAACGCGTCCGTGGGAAAATAATTAAACTCGCGAAAGCTCCGAGAATCAAGCCAATTCCATCGTGAAGATTTATTTTAATTGCGCGTGCCATTGTCTGGGAACGCTCAAACGCAATTGCAGGAGCAGAACCCGTTGAGCTCTTTCGCCTCTCTAAGCCACCTTTTCATTTTCACTTTAAAAAGCAATCGCTATTCAAAAAGGATTGGCTTGATCCTGTGGTGTGCAGTGCGGGCTTGGGGTGAGACCTGCGGATGAGGCAAGGTGGATTTTGACTGCTCTTGCTACTGCGGGACCTGGAGTCCAACTGTGCCACTGCTCTTGAATGCGAGTGCTGATTTTTTTCTCTTTTGTTTTCCTCCCTGGCTCTCCATGGCCTGATGCAGGTATATGAAGTAAGTGCATAAGCCATGCCAAACCCGGCACATGCCGTGCCAGCCAGCCTTGGCGTTACTCCGCCCTGATTTAGCCAAATGTACCAGCGCTAGTTTCTTCCAAACTGCATGCTAACAGCATCGGCACGTGTTTGTGTGTGTGTGTGTGCCAAAAGTGATCATCGCTGTGTTTTCATTGAGAAGTAGGAGAAAGAAGCTCGGCTTATGCGAATCAAGATTTCTCTGTGCCTATTATTATGTGCTGATTAATGTGCCAATTTGCTCAATTTTAATTATTTCCCTTTAAGGGCCACTGTTGGCGTCGCGTGTCCTGTGATGAAGGTGTTTTTTTTTACAGTGGCTTCTTGATTGTAATTGCCGACGATTGGGAGGAATAAACAATACCGGTTCAAATAAAGAAGCGAATTGGAAATCCATAACATTTATGCTTTAAGGCCTACTCTCAAAATGACTGGCTCATTGGGTTAACAGCGGGTCAAATGCTTTAATTCCATAGTGTTTCCCATCACTATGTTTGTTGTATTGTGTGTGTATCGATTAATTTACAATAGCCCCTTAAGCACCAACAGCTTTGCCAAAGGTTCAGAGTGTCTGTATCACCTTTGTGCGATGGGGTATGGTTTACAGTACGAAAGCACAATAACATAATTTACACTGATCCTAAAGGCAACCACGGTCCACGGGTTATCCGCCAATTATTAAAATGAGTGGTTTCCTTTGTAGGACTGAAGTCATTAAGTAAATTAGGCACTGTGTATGAATGCATTACACGTGTTAAAGCAAAGTTCTTTCATATATATTTAAGTCGTATATAAAACAACTATATGAAAAGTTTTATGGATAACTTCAAACGAGCACAAAAAACAGCTCTCTTTGGTCACCGACTACAGCAGTTGTTTGATAAAAAAAAATATACAGGACCCCAAAGAGACCTGACGGCAAATCTCTGCTACCGTTTACGTTGCTCTTCATGCGAATCAGCGTTTGTTTTTGTTTATTTGGCGCCACAGTTGAAGATCTCGTTCCGTCAAGCGTTTTCCAAGAAGAAGGGGGGCAAAGGCCCTGGAGAGGGAGAGCCAGGGAAGAGTTCCGAGACCTCCACTCAGCCAGCCGCCACATCCGAAGCGGATACTACAACGCCCGGCCAGCCTGGGACCAAGCCCTCCGAAGGCCCTGCAGGGTACGGCTTCACAGACAACAAAAACATTTTTTTAAATTTATTTGACCAGGTAAGGCCCACTGATCTATGTACAGTGAGGGAAAAAAAGTATTTGATCCCCTGCTGATTTTGTATGTTTGCCCACTGACAAAGAAATGATCAGTCTATAATTTTAATGGTAGGTTTATTTGAACAGTGAGAGACATAATAACAACAACAAAATCCAGAAAAACGCATTTCAAAAATGTTATAAATTGATTTGCATTTTAATGAGGGAAATAAGTATTTGACCCCCTCTAAATCGGAAAGATTTCTGGCTCCCAGGTGTCATTTATACAGGTAACGAGCTGAGATTAGGAGCACACTCTTAAAGGGAGTGATCCTAATCTCAGCTTGTTACCTGTATAAAAGACACCTGTCAACAGAAGCAATCAATCAATCAGATTCCAAACTCTCCACCATGGCCAAGACCAAAGAGCTCTCCAAGGGTGTCAGGGACAAGATTGTAGACCTACACAAGGCTGGAATGGGCTACAAGACCATTGCCAAGCAGCTTGGTGAGAAGGTGACAAGAGTTGGTGCGATTATTCGCAAATGGAAGAAAGACAAAAGAACTGTCAATGTCCCTCTGCCTGGGGCTCCATGCAAGATCTCACCTCGTGGAGTTGCAATGATCATGATAACGGTGAGGAATCAGCCCAGAACTACACGGGAGGATCTTGTCAATGATCTCAAGGCACCTGGGACCATAGTCACCAAGAAAACAATTGGTAACACACTACGCCGTGAAGGACTGAAATCCTGCAGCGCCCGCAAGGTCCCCCTGGTCAAGAAAGCACATATACATGCCCGTCTGAAGTTTGGCAATGAACATCTGAATGATTCTGAGGACAACTGGGTGAAAGTGTTGTGGTCAGATGAGACCAAATTGGAGCTCTTTGGCATCAACTCAACTCGCCGTGTTTGGAGGAGGAGGAATGCTGCCTATGACCCCAAGAACACCATCCCCACCGTCAAACATGGAGGTGGAAACATGCTTTGTGGGTGTTTTTCTCCTAAGGGGACAGGACAACTTCACCGCATCAAAGGGACGATGGACGGGGCCATGTACCGTCAAATCTTGGGTGAGAACCTCCTTCCCTCAGCCAGGGCATTGAAAATGGGTCGTGGATGGGTATTCCAGCATGACAATGACCCAAAACACACGGCCAAAGCAACAAAGGAGTGGCTCAAGAAGAAGCACATTAAGGTCCTCGATTGGCCTAGCCAGTCTCCAGACCTTATTCCCATAGAAAATCTGTAGAGGGAGCTGAAGGTTCGAGTTGCCAAACGTCAGCCTCGAAACCTTAATGACTTGGAGAAGATCTGCAAAGAGCAGTGGGACATAATCCCTCCTGAGATGTGTGCAAACCTGGTGGCCAACTACAAGAAACGTCTGACCTCTGTGATTGCCAACAAGGGTTTTGCCACCAAGTACTAAGTCATGTTTTGCAGAGGGGTCAAATACTTATTTCCCTCATTAAAATGTAAATCAATTTATAACATTTTTGACATGCGTTTTTCTGGATTTATAGACTGATCATTTCTTTGTCAGTGGGCAAACGTACAAAATCAGCAGGGGATCAAATACTTTTTTCCCTCACTGTAGTTCTTTTTCATCAGTGACTTGGCCACAAATATAGCAGAACGAATTGACTTATCACGTGGAAATTTAAAGCAGCCAAATACTCTAAACGTGTATTTCTAAATGTGGAGGTAAAAACCAGAAAACCCGGATTCAGGGTTGGGATGAAACTCACGACCTCCTGGTGGACAGTGCTTAATTCTGCACTGAATATATTTCAGGTTGCTGGTTAGATGGCAGATTGACACATCATTCGTAGCCAGAGCCATCACAGCCGAATTGAGAGGTATATACCGGATGCGGTATGCCGGGTGCAGAACAATTTTTTGGGTTACTGATTCTGACAGATATAGCTGAGATGATGCTCTGCTCCTGGTATAACTGTCAACATCATAAAAGTGGGACCAGTTGTTGAAACAACATTGGCAGACCTATTTACTAAATGTTTACACAGCAATGAAAGACCTCAATTGTGTAATGATGCCAACACCATCCTCCTGTTTATACAGACTCATTATGCTCTTATCATGCTTGGCTTCCGATTCAGATCAGTATAAGGATGCTTGGATGGGTAATCACCATGAATATCAGTTCTTTTAGGCTATAAACCAGTGTTCTTCACTAATTTTCAGAGGGAGGCCACTTTCGCCGAGGGCCGCCACGCATTTGAAACCATTGGGTTTGACAGCAGCACGATGTGGGTGTTGTCACGTGTTGTGTATTGTTGGGGGCCACACGTCAGGGGCCGCACTAGAGGCCACCAGGGGCCGCCAGCGGCCTGCGGGCCTTGCAATGAAGAACGCTGCGCTAGACTGTGGGGGTACATTATGAGCAGCAGAGGGCAGTGCCCTGCCTTGAAGAGTTCTGAATCGATGTAAGAACGCACACTTCGTTGTTGTTGTTGCTGCCATGTGCCACGCTGTGGTCTCCGACTACAGGCAGCCACCGCCCGAAGTGGACACGATCATGCAGCTGCGCAGCGAGCTGCGGCACAAGGAGATGAAGCTGACCGACATACGTCTGGAGGCGCTCAACTCGGCGCACCAACTCAACACGCTGCAGGATGCCATGAACTCCATGCAGGTCTGCACATGCGCACGCACGCGCACAAGGCACGCGAACGCACTCGTCAGCATATGCACGCGTCAGCGTACGCACTCGGGCACTGCGTGCACAAGCAAACTTGGGTGTGCACCCATTCTTCTTGTAGCCACATACTCTGTGTTCAAAATAGTGTCCGTATAAATAATGGCGATGAAAAACATTTATCCCGAGAAATGAATTAGAACGAAAGCCAAGTGCACAAAGAAGCATGTACCTCTCTACACGTTTTGCATAATAACAATGTTAAAAACAGCAGCATGTTAAAACAGCAGAAGACCCATTCTTTGTTGACTGTTCATGAAAGTTTCTGGGCTGGAGCAGGGATATTGTGAATGTCGGCTGATGGACAAGGCTGGTGGTGGAATGGCAGCCAAAGTAGGGAATGCACCCGAGAGGATGACCACTTTGGATATGGAACAATGAGTTCGGTTCCCGTGCATGAGTGAGATGGATTGTGGCATCCCGTGACAGCGAGGCATGATAACGGCATGGGGGTACGGGCCTTCATCGCTCTTACCTGCCCCTTCTGAACATCTGTGGAAAATAGCTTCATAGCTCATCGGATTCCTCCAGTATGCATGCATATTCTGATTCTGATCATGGCGATGATGGTGACAATGATTTGGCGCAGATGGCGCTGTGACAGCTGCCCGCAAACGATTTTCTCCCGCATCACGTCCTCAACGCGGTCGACCGCGCACTGCTGCCCCCCTCCCCTTGCCCCGCCCCGATTTCCACTTTCGGCAGTCGATGATCGAGTCGCTCAAGGTGGAGAATGATCAGCTGAAGTCCGACACGCCCGTGGTCGGAGCGGCGACCGCCCCTGAGGGCACCGCCGAGCCCACGTCGCCGCGCCCCCTCCGCTCCCGCCTGCAGCACAGCCGGAGCCTCCCGAGCACCTCCAACCTTGGCACGTGATGCGGGAGTGGGGGGGGGACGGTGGGAGGGTGACGGTAGGAGGTGGGGGGCACATGGGACAGAGACAAACCGAGCTCGTTGATCGAGTTGATCCCCATGCACAACAGTGGCTGGATGTCTACGGCGATCCTTTTTGCCCGCATCGAGATGATACCCGGGACCCTCTCCGGCAATAGTACAGGTGATGTTCAAACACCAAATAGACGCACATTTGTGGTTTACGCAGACTTGGTGCCTAGCAATATGTGTGTATTTGGTATTTGAACATCGCAACACCTCTATTATTATTGGTAACCCCCATTATTCTGGAACTCCCTTCGCCCAGCCATCCAGGCCCTTGACTCCCTCCTTGCCTCTGTTCCAAGTCCCAGGGCTCAATAGTTTGCTCCTCTTCTTCTCTCCGCCTCTGACTGATTGCCTCTCTCTATGAAAGAAGTCTGCCCACTAATTCTGCAGAGCACCTTGAGATGCGGGTTTGCACTTCGATGCTGTGCAATCCAATTGTCTTGTGTCGAATCAAAATGTATTAGCAAATAACCCAACCACTAATAGGTGCTGCATATTCTTAGATTTATATGAACCATTGTAATTTGTATGACTAAATTAACCTCCCCATCTGGTCTTCGCGCGTGATAGGTTCACAGTGATGACATCACCTTTACTCTGTTTAAGACCGAAACAGAAAGACTTCTTCACATTTCTGCCTCATCGTCCGATGAAGCTGGTTGCAATCACCAGCGAAACGTTGTGCTCAAACTGTAAATGTCGTGGATCTACTCTCCAACACACCAATTAGTAAGGTTTGTCATCTAAACAAAACGTGCCAATCAGTTACAACCTCAGCACACACTGGTGTGTTGGAGAGTAAACCCGCGATGTTTACAATTTGAGTACTGCGACGTTTCGATGGTGATCACAACAACAATCAGCTTCACCGTGCACTCACACTGACGACGCGTTTATACTCGCGTGATATTATCCAAAAGGAAACAAAAAAAAACAAAGGTCATCACGAATAGTAAAATTGGTCGCGGGAAAAGCCACCGTGTTGACCGGTCTCATTCACGTTTCTCGCCGCCGCCGCCGCCGCCGTCGTCATCGTTGTTGTCGTCGCCCCTGCAGAATCTCTGCTCAAGGACAGCGTGGACAAGGCGCAGTGCAAGCAGGTCCGGCTTGTCGTCAGCTCGGCCGAGAGCTGGAGGCAGAGCAAGGTGCGTGCTCGTTCCACCACAGGCTTTTTTTTTTTTTACAAAATCCATCCCAATGAATTGTCCTCGAGGCTGCGCGAGTGCCGACTCGGGTATTTGGTGATCACAGAACGCGGTAAAATAAGCCTGGAATACACCCGATTCTTAGCGGATCTCGGGGATGTATTCCGGGATGGAGCTTGGATAATCCTGCTGCAGTTGTCCACCGTGGAAGGGGAGTCGTGCTGCGCTGCGCTGTGTGTAACAAAGAGAGCAGTGCAGCAAAATACGTTGTTGTACTGTGCTTCTGTGTTGCCACATCTATGCTCCCCATTTGACCGGTATGGTATGATCACATAGGCGTGGGAAAGCCTTCTTCCAATAGTGGATTTATAATGAGCTGTACATGTAAATGTACTTAAGAGATGTTGTGTTTAATTTGCTTAAAAGAGAAGTCTGGCTTCATTGGGTCTTTGTGGTTGAAGTTCTTGTGCTGTTCTATTTATTGATGTTGTGTTTTGTAGCATCGGGGTGATTATTAAGATGTGCCCTTCGACGCATCTGGTTTCTGTTCTCTCAGACCTCCAAGGTGACTCAGTTTGCCCTGGGGCGTGTGGACATTGGAGAAAGCACCACGTGGGAGGAGCTTGACGGAATAATCCGACATGTATTCAAGGTCAGGCAAACTCTCACACGTCACTTGAGTACACACACGACGTTGATTATGCCCAATCTCATTTTAGCTCTCGAAAGCTAAGCAAAAATAAGCCTGTGCAGTACTTAAACTATTAAACTATTTAAACTATAATCTAAACTATAAAACTATTTTTTTTATTTTACCAGGTAAGGCCCACTGAGCTATAAAGCTCTTTTTCAGAAATTACCTAGCAAGGACCAGTGGCCTATAATCACGTGGAAATTTACAGCAGCCAAATACTCTAAACGCAATGATGTTTAAAAAATTGTGGAGAGAACAACCGGAGGACCAGGGGAAACTAAAAATCCACACGACCACGGGGAGAGCGAGAACATGCAAACTCGTGCATACCAGGCAAGGTTATTAACATCTCGCCATCGTGGTGCTCGTTGGAAGGCCACCGTGGCGTACTTAGAAGGCCTTCCAGCAGGACTTGGCAGGCGTTTGTCGAACTCGGTGGCCGCGGGATGTGGCCAAGAAGTGGCGGTGTTTTCGTCACTAATTCCGACGGCGGGATAACGGACGCCGGCGCAGGAATACATCATCCGCGTGGACCCCGTGTCCAGCCTGGGCCTGAGCTCGGAGAGCATCGTGGGCTACAACGTGGGGGCCGTGCGGCGCACGAGGAACTCCCCCGAGCCCGTGCCGCTGCCCTGGGACAGCCTCCCCGAAGACGGCGAGCCCTGCATCGCCATCTCGCTCAAAGGTGGGCGGTCGTCGGCAAAAGAAACGGTGACTGAGGTCCGGCCTGCCTAAATTTGAACACCATGATTACTACGATTGCTATTTTATTTTCCCCAGGTGGGGCCCACTGAGATACATAACTCTTTTTTTTCACGAAGCGACCTGGCTATCACAAATGATGATAGCTCAACAAAGTGGCTCATCATGTGGAAATTTATAGCAGCCAAATACTCTAAACGCGTGATGTTTATTCTAAATGTGGAGGGAGCACCCGGAGAAAAATTGACTCGACCACGGGGAGAGAGAGAGAGAGGGACACGCAAACTCCAGGTATACAGGCGTCAGGGTCGAGATCGAACCCACGACCTCATGTATACCAATGTGAGGTAGTCAACATCTCGCCACCGTGGATCTCGGTGGTGCCAGCTCAGCACTCTGACCTTATGAGCCACCTGGACACCGCCCTGTTAATATTATTCATTTTATTAACTATATACCTTTACTCGGATCGTCCCTTGAGACAGAATATCTCATTTGCAAGGGTGTCGAGCGACGCAACTAGAGCAAACACCACGATGTAAACAACATATTCTGGATTTCAATAGGGTTATTTACGATTCAAGTCAAATTTGAAAAATGTTGGACTATGTATCTATGTTAAACTTCTTTCGCACTGTACTTAGCCAAGCGTGCTAATCGGAGTTGCCACTGTGACACCACCACACATGGCCTACTCTGTTGGAAATAACATCACAGCAAATTCTCGGTATGAACCAGGGCGGCTGTTGCGCTCGAACCGCGAATCTATGCAACGAGCGGCAAACGCGCGACTGCTCGGCCAGTGGCACTGCTCGCGATTCTGACGCTCCCTCCACCGCCACCACCGCTACCGCCGCCACAGGCCTGGGGGAGAGTAGCCTGGACAGCCTGGCCTTCGAGGGCCTCACGCCAAAGCCGGTGCTGCAGCGCTGCTCGGGGCTGCTGCTGGACCACCGCCACCTGGTGCTGTGCGGCCCTCCCGGCAGCGGCAAGTCCTGCCTGGCGGCGCAGCTGGGCCAGTGGCTGGTGCGGCGCGCGGGGCTGCGGGTCACCGACGACACGGTCGCCACGTTCTCCGTCAACCAGTCCACGGCGGACGTGAGCGTCTCACACTCACACCAGAGCGACGTTTTGACCCGCGTAGACTAGCAAAGGATCCATAGGCCAGCAACAGACCCAAAGACCCATCGACTTATAGGAAAAACGTTTGACCTCATAGACTATGCTTAAGCAGACAGACTAAGATTGGGCCCATTGGATAATGTGGTGCCCATGGACACACATCGGACCTGCATGCTTACGTTAGATCCACAGACTTATGTAGGTGACTCATAGTGTCACTTCATAACAGACTAACTTAGCGTTTTCGTGACATGCTAATACTGCGCGCACAGTACACACAGCCTTGTTTTAGACAATGAGGGCATTTAAGGAAGGACTGATCCTCCAGTCACATTCGTGCCTTTATGTAGTCTGTAAATATAGAAATCAACTCTCGCGTGTATCATTACTCTTGTTAGCACAGGGCCATCGTCCCATGCCACCGAACTTAACCCCCCCCCGCACGTCTCCCTCCTTCCCTCTCCTCCTCCTATTCTTCTTCTTCTAACCTCACTCGCTCACGCGACAGGAGATCCGCCAGTACCTAGTGGACCTGGCGGAGCTGTGCAGCGGCGGGCTGGAGATCGGCGACGTACCACGCGTCATTATCCTCGACGGTTTGCAGGAGGCCGGCCAGCCCGGCGATTTGCTCACTCCCGCCATCAACTGCCAGCACCATGTGTTGTGAGTCTCATAATATTACTCTTATTCTTGGTTCGTTCGGTAAAGTCACGTTGAAGGGAAACAATAAAATAATAAAATATATAAACCAATGAAATTTCACACCTGATGATGACTGCTTGTGTTGCAGTCGAAACGTCGTGAGAATTTTATTGTTTTATATATATTTTATTATTTTATTGTTTCCCTTCAACGTGACTTTACCGAAAGAACCAAGAATATGAATCACTGCAGTCACGAAAGCTTTAAATCAAAATTTTATATTACTCTCATATAGTTTTTTCTATATATTTTTTAATTAAGACTCAACGCGAGCCCGATGCAAGACGCAGGTCACTGAACAAAAGTGGGAATATATTATTAATTATTATTATTGATAGGGCATGTGTGCGCAAGCGAGCGCACGCTCGCTACAGTAACGGCCTAGTTGCAGCACGTTCACCACCCTGGTTAATATTGAGGGTGCATGAATCGTAAGAAATACATGCCATCTGCTTCAGAGTGGAGGCCATATACGTCATGGCTCAAAATTGGACCAGGACAAAATCAATGACCCCCAAATTGCTATATTCATCTGTGAAACATAGCACCATCGACATAGCCTTGCGCTATGAGAATGGCGTGAACATGGAATGTACGATATTGTTATTGTCACGTGTTCTGGGTGAGTGTGATGAAATCAAATCAAATCATTACTGCGTTCAATATTTAGTACCATTCTCAAAGCGAAGGGCTGTCGTGAAGGTGCTTTGTTTCACAGGCTGTTACAGCTTTTGCAGTGGTTTCATTGTCGGAGGGGTGATGCTGCTATGTGGCTTCATCCAAGTTCTGAATTTTGCGAGTAAATTTCTCATTTTGGCAAATATGGAGCGTGATTACTCCCTTTAGAAGAAGTTCACAGGATAATTTACATCCACTGTGAAGCAGACAGCACATTTTTTCGGTTAATACACCCACGGCATTAATCAGGGTACCCGCTGGGCATGAACCACAAACCTCTGCAAACAGCGACAAATTCCCTTCCGCTCATTCATGCTGCCTTCCTTAAACACGAGAAAGTGCCACTTGATTATCCATAACCCTAGCCCGAAAGTCAAGCTCTAACCTTAACCCTATCCCAAATTCTGGCCATATCTCTGGAAATTTCAATTGCTCTAGCTTTAACTGTGGTCATAACTATAAGACCTAACAATAGAAATACTCATACTATTATATAATGAAGGCCACAACCTTATCAGTAACCAGAGCTATATTAAATTATTACATTAGCCCTGACACTAGTTATAACCCTAGCCATAAACCTTGTCCTTGGCAAGAATGATGAGGCTACGACAATAGTCGTTGCTCACATCCTCGGTTTCAACTCTCGCTCGAGCTGAAACTATATACAGCAACCGTGGCAATAACCGTTTTTGTTCATTAGTTTAATGGATTGAGCTAATTAAGCATCCAGTATCTGGGCTGGTCTGTTTTGTTGGCTCAGTTTTGCAAAAGACATCGGTCTGATTGAATCTGTTCAAAGCTGCAAGGAGCAGTTAAACAAACTACTTGTTATAAAATAATTTAAGAAAGAAGGCTGCAAAATTGAGCCGAGAATAAATATGATCGAAGGAAAATTATTATTGGTGAGACACAATTGGAAAACAAAGGAGAGACCATGCCTGGGAGGGTGATCATTGCAGAGATGGAGCAGTTAGCTTAGCTCATGTACAGCAGCCAGATGGATTGTGGCATCGCAAGACCGTAATAGATGGTGTTTGGCCAAGGGTGGGATTCATCCAGCAGTGAATAGACAGTAGCTTATGATGACGATGTTAATTCATTATGCCCCATAGCTTCTTTTTCAATGCAGTCTAAAATATTTTTTGTATAATGCAATTATACCATATGATATAAATTGGATTTGCGTAAGAGCTAACCTGGAGTTGCACGCATTTTTTTTTTACATTTATTATATCCCTGTGTACCCGGGAAAGCCTCGACGAATCTCTATAACATATCATGCCTGTGTATGCAATGCAATACAAATTGGATTTATGTAGCTTTTAAATATAGCAGGGGCGCCACGGTGGTGGGATGTTAACTAACTCGCCTGGTATACAGGAGGTCGTGGGTTTGATCCCGACCCCTGATCCCTGACACCTGCTGTATATTTCGAGTTTTCGTGTCTCTCTTCCCGTGGTTGCATGGATTTTTCTCCAGGTTCTACAGTTTTCCCTCCACATTTAGGAGCATGCGTTTAGAGTATTTGTCTGCTATAAATTTCCACATGATAAGCCACTTTCTTCAGCTATTATTTGTGGCCAGGTCGCTTTTTTAAATATCTTTACAGCTCAGTGGGCCTTACCTGGTAAAATAAAAAAATGTTTCGCACCTCAAGACACTGCATGTAATAATACATCGATTCAATGATTTAAACCCAGGGGCAACGCTCACAATGAGGGGGGCACCAAATGTTTGCGTGTGTTAAAATAAAAATTGTGTGTGTGTTTGAAAATGACGTGATAATGATTTGCTCATGTTTAGGTATCGGTTAATGAAGTGAAGACAATTTTTACACATTTGGCACGGTTGGCTATGTACGGGGTGCGGCAGAAGTTCTACGTACGTACGCAGAGTCAAGTAAGAAACAGAATAAACAACTTGAGAAACCGCGCAAACAAGACGGTAAACAGCAGCTAGGATTTGAAATTGGGATGGGACATCTGTGCTGTTATGCTTAGACAGTAACAGGATCTCCCTCCACTACATGTGTGGCTGGTAACGACAATGCATGCGTGCAGTTTTACAAAGGCACGGTTTTGTATTTCATCGTAATATTTTATGACGTTGGAAAAAAATATACTTGCTGCAATGCTCAACCGGTTTCGGCTGGCATTATCTTTTTTTCTGCTCTTGAGTGGTTGTAAGGGTTTTTGCTTAATGAATTTGCGTTTTTTGTTACTGCACCAGTCCCTACTTGATTGGAATCTTCGAGCAAGTTACATCCGCAACCCCCGACGTGAAGTTGCATCCCAACGTCAGGTGTGGCCTCACTCCATCATCACGACCATTATCATCACAGTGACCGCTATTATCACTCCCATCATCAGCATTGTCACCACTACGATCACTTTCGCTATCCACATCACTAGCATGTCCTTCATAACATTGTCACTTATACAAATGGTTCTCAACCGAGGGTATGGGGGGACCCCCTGCGGATATGTGGGCAATGTCCCAGGGGGTACGTGAGATGATTTATAAATGTACCTTAGACTTAAATTATCAAATTATTGATGTTAATTATTCATACATTTCTCAGAACTATGTTGGGTTAGGGGTACTCAACTTCAACAAGGGGTACACAGTAGCCAAAGAAGATTGAAAACCACTGACCTATGCTATCATCATCACTACCATCACTGCTGTCACCATCGCCACCGTCTTGTGTACACATGTGCAGGCCTGCATGTGGGGAGCAGTGGTGTAATGGTTAGCACCGTGCACTATGAACCCATCCACCCGAGGCCGATTCCCCATCCATGGCTAACAATGGTGGCAATTATCTCAACTGGTCCTGGGCCTCTCCTATGCTAACTCAGCCTCAAGCGAGCACCAGGTTAGGTGTGAAAACATCAGCAACTGGGAGACAGCTGGGGGCATGATACTGAGAACACCCCATTCTCTCTTGTGCCTTGCCGGCCTTCGTAGGTGCTCGCGAACAGCACTTGTTCCAACAGCTTGTTCCATTCCTCTCTTAAAACTCACCTTTTTTCCATAGCCCATTCCCTTCCTCTGCCTACCCCTCGCCTCTCCACTCCTTCCCGTCTCTCCCCTATAGCCCTTTCATCACCCCCCACGTGCCCTCTGTTACGGTCACTCATTCCTCGGCCCTTTGCACGCCCTCGCCATCCAAATCGCTCTATTTTTGTTACCGCTTTTAAACTTCGGGAGGTACCTCGAGCCGAGAAGCTCTCCAAATATAAAGACAAAGGCTACACGAGGGGGGGGGGAGGGGGGGGACGTGCATCCGCGTGCCCTCGAGAACACGTGTGCCATGTCCGTGCACCGCCAGGTTTGTGCTCCATGGCAGCCAAGTGGAGCCCGTCAAGGGCTTCCTGGGACGCTTCCTGCGGCGGCGCCTCGTCGAGGCCGAGGTGGATACGGCCACACGCAACTCGAACCTCGTCAAGGTGATCGAGTGGATCCCCAAGCTGTGGCGCCACCTCAACCGCTTCCTGGAGAGCCACGGGCCCGGGGGTGTGTCTGTCGGTGAGTGCCGTCGCCGTCGTCGCCAGCAGCACCTCCGATTAGCACGGTTGACTGCGTACACCCAGAGGTTCCCCTTTGGCAGGAGCTGGAGGACTGGGGTAGAACTACTTTTTGTGTTTAGTTTGTTGTCCTTCCCCGCACCCCTGATTAGCACGCGTACTCCCAGAGGTTCCCGGAGGGGCATGACCTGGAGGACTGGGGTAGAACTGCTGTCATTCTTTTCCCGTCAATTCTTCCTTCTGCAACGTCCTCATTCATCAAACTGTGCCCTCGTAGAATGTGTCAAATTCATTCGGTCTATTTCATTCTGATGACTTCCATTACCATTCTTCTTTCGCCGATGCCATTCTAAATGTCTTCACTGCTCTTCTTGTCTGTCCAGCTCACTCTCCGCACCCTCCTCCATATTTGCATCTCGAACGATTCCAACCGTCGCACTTCGTCCTTTGTCACATTTCTACTCCATACAAACCTACACTCCACACCGCAAGCGTCTTCTTCTTTACTCTTTCATTCATTAATTTTGTCAACAATTGTTTCCTCTCACCGAATTCCTCTTGTCCACATTTTTTTTAAAGTAAACATTTTTTGCCACAAGGTTGTTAAAGCCCGACGCCACAATTGATAATCGTCTCTGGTTTCGTAATCCCCTTTGCAGACTCGCCGTCGGGGGATCAACATCAGTCGATGTGCGAGTGTTTGAATCGGCGGTGGCTGCGTGTGCACGCTTGCAGGCCCCCACCTCTTCCTGTCCTGCCCAATGGACGTGTCCGAGTCGCGGGTGTGGTTCGTCGATCTCTGGAACCGTTCGCTGCTTCCCTTCCTGTGCGAGGCCGTGAGGACTGGCCTGCAGGTATGAAACTACTTCAAGTGAATCAATTTTTTTTATTTTACCAGGTAAGACACACTGCAACTATATAGCTCTGTTTGAGAATGATAGCTCAACGAAGTGGCTCATCATGTGGGAATATATAGTAGCCAAATAATAAAAATGCACGTTGCTTCTAAATGTGACGGAAAACCAAAAAAAAATTTTCACTTGTCTTTTGCAGATGTACGGCAAGCGGGGCGCGTGGGAGGACCCCACGCAGTGGGTGCTCGACATGTACCCGTGGGCGGCCGGCCCCGGGCGCCACGAGGCGCCGCTCCTCGCTCGGCTGCGTCCCGAGGACGCGGGCTACGACGTCCCGCAGTGCGACAACCACGCAAGCCTCCCCAAGCCCACGCCGCCCAGCGGGCCCACCGCAGACCCTCTTGTGAGTGAGGGCGCTCGCGCGCTCGCCCGTCTCACGGCTCGACGGTCGTGCGCGTGGGCGCGGTGCTCGCTTGCGCGCTCGTTCACGCCACGACGATCGGGCACATGTACGGCTCGGTTGATTGCAATGCGGTGCGCGCACTTGTACAATCGGTCACGATTCAACGCTTGCACGTGTGCGCACTCCCTCCTCGCTTGCAACTCGTAAGCAACATGTGAGTGTAATTGGTTAGTATTTTGAACAGCAGAGGGCAGCGTGATAAAATCCTTGCTTTCCTGTGCTTTTATGTCCCTCATCTATGCTGCCCAGTCACGAAAGCTTCAAATCAAGATTATCCTGCCCATCTTCACTAATCCGCGTTGACCAGCGTAGTGAAGCAAATAACCTCTGTGACCTGCACGACAGAGGGGGAGGCACTCCCTCATTGATAATGATCATTTATTGCCCAGTGGGATTTACCCGTGGCAAAATAAACCGAACGACTAATCCAGCAGTGGATTGACAAAAGGCCGTACGTGTACATCTAGAAACGTTTCACGTATTATATTCTTACCTTTTCTAGATGTAAAGCTTTTGTGACTGCTAGGATCCATACTCTTTGGTTCTATTGGGTAAAGTCACGTAGGTGAAAATAAAATAACAAAAAATCACGACGTTTCGGCCACAACACAAGCGGCCTTCATCAGGTGAAGGGACGAGACTGTCTGGAGGACAGACAGTCTCGTCCTACGTGACTTTACCCAATAGAACCAAAGAGTATATTCTTAGCTCTTTCGGTAAAGTCACGTTGAAGGGAAACAATAAAATAATAAAATATATATAAAACAATAAAAATTCTCACCAGGTTTCGACCATAACACAAACGGTCATCATCAGGTGTGAAAACCAACGGCAAGAAAGGTTTTTACACCTAATGTTGACCGTTTGTGTTATGGTCGAAACCTCGTGAGAATTTTTATTGTTTTATATATTATTATTTTATTGTTTCCCTTCAACGTGACTTTACCGAAAGAGCTAAGAATATGAATTACTGCAGTCACGAAAGCTTTAAATCAAAATTTAGTTTCACGAATTGTGAAGAATGTCACCTCACGTGAACAATTCGCTGCACGTATCGCGAGCGCGCGAATCGATCACAGCCAATGAATCCCATCAGCAGCAGCAGCAGCACCGTGTCGCCAACGGCAGCGCCGTCACCGACCATCGGCAGCGTGCGGCACAGGAGTGTGTTCATGTTCTCTCCCGCCTCCCTCCTTTCCTTGCAGATGAATATGCTGCTGAAGCTGAAAGAGGCCGCCGACAGCTCCCAGAGCTAGACGCGTGCGTGGGCGCGCGCATGGGTACGTGCGTGCGTGTGTGCGACGGGGCGATGCCAGCCGCGGAGCGGCTGACCCGAAGATCCGCAAGGTGACCGCCCGGCCTCGTTGCCGAGCGGCCCGCTGACCGCGATGCCGTCGCAACAAACAAAAAAAGTGCAAAATCGGCGACCGCAAACGGCCAAAATTGTTCGCTTCTGTTGCACAGCGAGAGGGGGGGTAAAAATCTTGGCACCTCAGTTCTCTGTAATTGTGTCGTTTTGAGATACCTTTAAAAAATATATATCGAGGGCAATTTTTTTTTCTTCTGACAGAAAATGCACACGCACGTGTTCATTTGGTTCGTGTCAACGGAACGATCTCGTGCGGCCACACAGGAAGGAAGGTTTGGCCACGGTGCCTGATGCAGTTTAATTTCGCGGTGTTAATGCCAGATGCCCCACAAGCGCGAGTAACGCTCTGAAGTCTGTCACTTTGTGAAGAGGTGCTACAACAACGTGACTTGTCGGGTGGAAGGTAGTGATCTGTGACTCTTGTTGTCAGCAAATTTAAGAGTGATTGAAAGGGTAGCAAAAAAAGTCGCTACTTAAAAAGCCCAAAACTGTTCCTCTTGAAAGTAAAACAAATACAAAACATTGTTGTTATTGTACATAAGACAAAGTTTGGTGATGATTTACTGCACTTTAGACTAAAAAGGTTTAAAAATAGTAATAATAAAAGAATTACCTTATATTAATTTATTACCATATTAGGAACACAAGATATATATACTGTGCGAGGAAGTAACAGAAATTTGATTTAAAGTTGTGCACCGGCGATGATGGTGTTTGTTCCAACTCGACAAATTCACAAGATTGGTGCTTAAACTAATAATATGCCTTTGCTTGAGGTTACTAAGCTTGAGGTAACGAAGCACATGCACACACCAGAAAGGGTCCCGGGCACTCTTCGTGTTTCACGTCTTAAGTTTGTTACGACGTCAGCGGACTATTAAATAACCACACGTAGTAAGAAGAGTGGGCAGTAGTCGAGTTAGTATTGCTACCAGGCCAAACAAACACACCTTTCCAGTGCATTTATCAATATGATTGTATGACTCTTTATTTATTTACTAAATGATTTTTTTTATATTACGACATTATTTTTTTTATATTTTATAAGGGGTGTGTTTCTGTCCGTTTGTGTGTGTGTGTGCGCGCGTGTACATTGTGCATTATACAGTATTGCTTAGTTTCAGGTAAAGCAGGTGCTTTTGAATACAGATTGTGCCACACCAAGCCATAGTCATTATACAGGTGCTATGAAATGTGCGGTGTGGGTTTTTTTTAGAGATTATATAATACAAGTACTCTTTGTAACTCATTCACCGGTCTAACAACATTACGTGCAAATAAATTAACAAGTGGGCACTCATGCACAATTGCGCACATGCACAAACAAGCACACACACACGAAACAAAGACTGCCTACTTGACCCCCATGGAATGCTGGACCAAGTACTGTTAGCGACCACTCATTAAAACCAGCATGGCACAGGTGACAATGCTTGGGCCAGAATCATGCCTGACCATCTTTATCTTCCCAGAACTGATGTTGACTGCACCATGTTAGGTATAGGGTTTTCGAGACCGAGGCAACAGATGTCCAGATATCGAAACCAAGTTTCGAGGTTCATTCATAATATTGGAGCTTACTGATTATTATGCCACCACGTTCCCAGCACAAAACAAACCCCTTGGTCAATTAGACTATTGGACCACGTGTTTTTAGTGAGTTGCTTTTTAGGCGAACACGGCATGCACGGCAGTGGTGTAGCCAGTGTCATGATGGGCCGTCTTTGTCTCTCTATTACTGATGTTTACACGATGCAACTGGTACTCATTCAAGGCTGAATTAGACCTATGGGAAGCCCATGACATGTTCAAATACCACTTTGCCACTGATGTCAGGTCACGAGGTGTGTAGCGCAGTGCCACAATAACTGTGCCAACGCTCCCCGCGACGCACACGTGTACATATACACACGCACAAGAGGCATACCTGGTAACGCAAACGTAAACTGGCTTTAGCACTCCTAATGTCTTTTACTTTCACCCGATGTTCAAATTCTTACCATTGGACATGCGGTTTGTTTGGCCTGTACACACGGTAGCCGAGTTCTTAAACAATCTTTTTTTTAATTATTGAACAAAGGCAACGAGTAGCATTTTTACTTCGCATTCAAATGGCACTGCAAAGAGGTTTTTGTACAATTTTCTTAATTTCCACTGAGTGTGTTTCACTCACTGTACCTGTGTCCGAAGGCTAATTTAAAACCTTTCCAGTGCTAAAGAAAAAAAAACCGTAAACTTAAAAAAACTATAAAAATTAAATAAATCAATAACTCTTGCATTTTAGGCAAGACTTTAGTATTTTGTACTGTGGTATGTTTGTTATGGGCCTGTTTTATTGCTCATGCTAGTAATGTCCCAGTAGTTTATGCTATTTATTGCTTCGTCACAATGCAATTCTCTAAATTCACCTGGTATTGCATTCAAGAAACCCTTAACAACACGGAATAGTCCTGCAACCTTGTCTTGACAGACAGGCGTGACACTGTCATATTAATAATGACGGTGATGATGTCGAACTTTTGAATAGCGCCTTTCATTTAACTCAGTCTAGGCAGCTGTAAAAAAAAAAGATATGCACAGAGCTTCATGCAGGAGATAAATGCAGCGCAATGGCCGACTGACATTCAATCAAATAAAAAAAGATACGACTTAAAATCTGACACGCAATCTCTGTGGATGGATTTAAGTGATGACTTACAACTTTTTTTTGTAAAACCAGTGACCGTATCATCGACATTAACTTTAATCAGATGTTTAAATTGGATATCTTTCTTTGCCAAGTCCATTGGTGGATATACGCTTCAACATCGTTGCCTATACTTTTATAATCTGTATTTCGTCAGTTTTAATGAGACAGCTTTAGAGAAATATTTCGTTATTGCAACAATGCCACGCGGCCACTGTTTGGCACTGAGCGAAGCAAAACACCACCGAGGGTAATGTTTTTTTATTATTTGTTCGTTCTTAACGCTCACTCGTCCAGACATGTTTCATTGTCATGTTTACACTGATGAAGGCACTCTCTTAAAAGCATGTCCGAGTGCTCTGTGACGGAACACCACAAGTGGGGGGTTAATGGGGGGTGGGGGGGGAGAAATGGGGGGTGGGTTAGTGGGGGGTTAGTGATGGGGGGGGGAGTCCAGGGCTTAATTTCTCACTGAATATTTTCTGGCCCGATGGCAGACTGGGAGGTGGAACATGACTTCGCTGTAGCCACATTGAAGGGGTGTTATTGACCGTGGCGTGTCGGGGTGGAGGTGTGTGTGTGACAATATTTTTTGGAGCTCAGCCCCCTGGACATCTCTCCAGCTGAAATTAAGCCCTGGTTTTTGGCTTTTGGAAGTCAGTATAACGGCCGACTCGATACTTTCAACAACAAAAAACAACGGAAAAATCGTCGCTATCGGATGGGAAAGAAATAACAACACCCAAGTCCAACCTTAACGTGCATTGATTCCTTGCTGTAGAGCTGTTATGAGCTAGTGGAGGCTTGGCAGAGACCTTGTGTGTGTGTGTTGTGGGTCGCGCGGCACGTGTCCGTAACATGCTTCACGGCTCCCTAAGAAGGTGAACTCTTGTCGGCTCGTTATCACTACTAGCATATTCATTCATTCTGTACTTACTGTTACGTATCGCGCAGCATTACGCTATGGTTCATTATTGTACTCGTGCAGTGCGAGTAGGTAAACCTAACTGGTCCTGAAATAAAAAAAAAAATGCAAAAAAAAGTTCACAGCTTGGGGCGGTGTCATTTGTGATCATCACAACACGGTCTGCGGTGTGGTTGTTTGCGTGTCCTTCGTGCCCTTTGCGTCGATTTTAAGTAAATATAGCCGGTGTAGGCTCACCTGCAATGAATCACGTGTATAATTGTGCACTCTGCAACGTATGCGAATCTAAGAAACTTTTTTTTTAGTATTACGTGTCACATCTGTACTAACTACGGGATAGACAGATGCGTTTTTTGTATTCTAAGTGAAGGTTAACGGTGATCAGCGATTGGACCCCGACCCCCACGTACACAGCTTTATATTACATTAGCTCCAATAATATATAACTGTTAAATTTAAATCACTGGAATGTAAATAGATTTACAGGAACTGGTAATGCCAATTGACTGTTAATTAAGTTATTGGCGGTAATGAAGATATGCACAACTCAGAATTTGATATTTAAAGTTGATTTCAACGTATAAAATACTTATAATAATTGGGTCTGGATTTATCAACACTGGCGCTCAATCCCATGGACAGGGGGATTGAGGTGCGGTGTTGTGACATGGGGGGGTGTTTCTGATCGCTGTTTGCAAATACGTAACTACCCTTTCAGAAGAGCGCGTTGAAATAAAGTTCCGACGTTTCACAACCCCCCCCCCCCCCCCCCCCCACGGTGCTCAGCTGTTGTGGAGTCGCCCCACTTCTCCGGAGGACAGAACGCAACGCAGACTTCCTACTCACCTACCTGTCAACCCATACGGTTTACCCCGTGTTCTCGTACAGGGAAATTGACTGTTTAGGTCCATACGGCGTACAGCCGTTTCAATAGGGGCAAAAACATGTTTTTTATCTATTTGTTTGCGTTTCTCCCTTGTGATGGGACTTTGTAAGATGAACGTTGAGATTTATAAGGGCACTGGGGGACCAATAAGGTGTAGATTCGTCTGTAATAAGGTAGATACTGATAAGGCGTCGAGAGGTACAGTATGTACTCATCGCCTCCGAACTTTTTTTTCTGTTGTCTATTTCGCTAATCTGTCCCCTCCCCCTCGCAAGGATCCACGATGGGAGTAGAGGGACAGGGTGGACTGGCGACACGAAGAAAAATCAACACCAATATGCAACGTTAAGATGTTTATTCTTTGCAACATTCCAATATTGTTTTCCTGTGGGGTGATGCACAACAATAGTACTCTTTTTGGAAGCTTCAAAGTAAAAATTACATTTGACTCAAGTGCTGCTGAGTTCATGGGACTTGGATTACAGTAGTTAGAAATTATTTTCACTGTTTGAAAGTGGAACTTTTACAAGAATCCATGACAATAACACTCAACTACATCAACTTTGAAAGCAGTCAAGAGGCCTTCACGAAAGTAATCAGCCATTGTGCAAGAGTGCAGCAAATGTTTTATCAATATTTGTCAGTAAGGGAACATTAAAAGAAAATGCTTCGGAAAATAATAGCTACAACAACGTTAAAACACTCCTTCAAACGACCAAGCACATAACAATATATATTTCTACCACTGAAACACTACCAAAGACACTGGTGGTGGTGGAAATGTGCTTTGTGTACTCATGCCATAATACCACTGCCAACATTGCTCCTTCAATGTAAGATGTGTTATTTGGAAAGCTTCTATTATTCACCCGCATAGCATTCACTTGTGGTGCGTCTTATAATCGGGTTGGTGCGCCAGATTTTTATAACTTTATTGGCACCGGGCATAGGTTTTGGATGTTTCTTTCCAGATCATAACGATTCACACACACACCCTCCACCACAATGCGAACAATTATTACAATTCTTGGTCGCTACTTCATTCAACAACATCGTTTCTCAATTGGTGTTGTTTGTCTCGTTGCTATTACTTTATATACCCTCTATTAAATACACCAACATTTATCGGCACATCATTTGCTTACCGTTACATACATTAAGGTTAGCCTTTTCAAGCCTGCAAAATAATTTGACCTGGTTAAAAAGTGCGGGGTCTGTATTCAAACCAATGGCTAAATGAAAGCACATACAAAAACACGGAACAGCCACATAAAGCTCACATGAAGAGATTATGATTTAAATTTGGCTCTATCGTAAACATTAAAAACGCAATGCCAGTCGATCACATCCCTCGAGTTTAGACAATTTAGCAGCCGCCCCCCCCCCCACCACCCCATGAACCCTCCGTTAACCTCTTCTTAAACCCGGTAGCTGCCCGCAGCTGGCATGGTTTCGTTGGTCAGATCGACTCCAAGCGGTGGCCCCTTGATCTGGCTCGGGTGGCTGCAGTAGTCGGGTCTCAGGCTGCGCACGGTGCAGTCGGTGGTGTCGGTCTGGCATTGGCTGCACTGGCAGCTGAGCGCCACCGGATAGTGGAGGGTCGGGTCAACGCCGGGGTCACAGCCGTGCAGGGTCACGGTCTCGTAGCCCACGTCCGTGTACGTGCACACCTCCTGGGCAATCTTCCTCATATTGTGCCCGATCAGTTGCTGTGGAAAGAAGCGATTGGGGCAAGCTTGCTGAGAGGTGAACGTTTGAATCGGTGAACATGTGCAGCAGGTTAATAATATACTAACGGTGCGGTGCATCATTGGAAACTGCGAAGGCAAGTAGTGGGCTTGGGCAGGACACGTCGCGCCTATAACTGATAATAACCCATGGTCAAATAATAATAACAACGGAGTGGTAGGCAAGTACATGAATAAATAATTAAGTAAACAAATTTCCGTATACACACATTATCTTGAGTGTTGGGTTAAACAGTGTCCTATAATGTATATGGAATGCTCTTACCCATAAAATCTGGCAATCCAACAGAATTTGTTTAACAAGCGTGGCCGGTTAATAATTTGACTTCTCAAACGAATGCCGTTTGGCTATTTTGGTCTTGAAAACCAATATACTGACAGATGAAAAATAATTGAACGTTTTGGCGGTACACCGGTGCAGCATAACACACCGGTCCTCATAAAACAGTCTAAAATCAACATTTGAATCAGTAAATATGTTAATCAGGCTTCAATTGACTCTGTTGCCAAATTTAACGCGCTTTGAAGATGTATTCAGCCTACTGAGACTTGTTTAAAAAAATGTCAATATTGACCGTTGATTTGGGTCCGTTGAATCGAGGAACCGTCGGACCAAGTCTAGGGCACGAGGAGTCAAATCTGCCTTTGGAACACTGAGCAGCCAATCGGCAACAGACTGTGAAGCTTCGTGTTCAGCCGCTCGCAACGTTCGCCTTCCGACTGCTTCGATGCCACGCGAACTGATTTTGACCGCACCACCCCGCAAGATAAACAATGATTGCGAAATGTTTGCTTTGTTTTTATACCGCGCACCGATGTACCGCCAATACGTTATAACAGGTCCCTGCAGGGTGGGCTGGTAGGAACATTGGAATTTTTTTTACACCCAACAGCACGAGATTTCACTTCGTTAAAGTATTGAAAGGGGACGGACGGACACATTAATCTATTGCAGGCTGGTACACTCAGTTTACAACTTCGTTCCTACCAGTATTAGTATTTATATGTGGAGACCCAGAGCTGAGTGAGCTCTGCTTATACAAACTGATTAGATTGGTGATTGTATTTAATGTTGGGATTATGCAGTACTATACACGGTCATATAAGACAGTGAGAACTCATGTAATATGTGCTTTAAAAAAAAAATTGGAAATTAATGAAAATTATGGAAATATTTATTACGAAATGAAAAATGACCTGTAATTAGTGCCTCCCGTGTATGTATGGTTGAACTTCTTTCGCACCGTATGTAGCCAACCGTGCTATTCGGAGGTGCAGGAAAGGGTAAACTAACATACAACATAAACGATAAGTCAGCCATTATTGTACCGCTCCTCAAAACATCTTCCTTTGCGACCTTTCCTGCCAACTACTGCCCCAATATTCTTTCTCCCCTATTTCTCCAAACTCTTAGAACGCCTGGCACACTCTCGTCTTGCTCGCTACGTATCTTCAAACTCTCTCTACCCCCAATTCCAATCTGGTTTTCGTCCCTCTCATTCAACCGCAACGGCTCTTCTTTCGGTTCAGAATCACCTTGCTAACTCTGCTCATGTTGGTCTCTCTCTCTCTCTTCTATTCTTATAACTCTTCGATCTGTCCTCAGCTTTTGACACGGTTGACAATCCGACTCTTTATACTCTTTGGTTTTATTCGGTAAAGTCACGTAGGTAAAAAACTAATTAATTGTTTATTTTATTTTAATTTGTTTTTTACCTACGTGACTTTACCGAATAAAATCAAAGAGTATGAATTCTTGCAGTCACGAAAGCTTCAAATCTAAAATCCGACTCTTTACTCTCTCTCGGTATCTCCGCCACACCACTTTCCTGGCTACAGTCCTATCTCTCTCTGCGCACCTCTCATTCAATCATTGCCCCCCCCCCCCCCCACCTCCAGCCCCCTTCACTGTTGGCGTTTCACAAGGATCTGTTCTTAACCCCCCACTTTTATCTCTATACTTCACCACTTGCATCTCTCCTTTCTTCGCGGCACTCCCCCATCATTTATTGGCAGATGACATCCACATTTTCTCTTCTCCTGTCCTCCCTTTGCTCCCCTGACTTCGCCCACCGCATCTCACCATGCCTGGTTTATATCCAGACTTGGACGTGACGCCACTTTCTGTCCATCAACCCTTCCAAAACTCAAATGATCTTTTCCCCTGCCTCCAGTTCCCCTCCTCCATGTCCCACCATTGCTTTCCCTCCCTTTTCTACTTCATCAGCCCGCAACCGTGGTGTTATCTTTAACTCTCTCCTTTGTATATGACTCCATATATGACTCCATATACAAAGGCGTCGTTAAGTGTTCAGTAATTCAAGCCAACCTCACTGCTTGCTTCAACAACCGGCGTATTATCCGGATTATAAGGCGCACCATTCGCAACATTTCGGCTGAATATTATAATCCGATAGCGCAATGCGTACGTGTAATGTGTTAACAGAAGTGTACAGCACTACTGATACTGGGGGGGGGGGGGACTTTTAGTTCGCTTCTTACTTTCCGGAGCAGCTAATAATCCGGAGAATACGGCAAATAATGCATCGGTAAGTCCACCAGAGGACACGATCTGTACCGTAATTGAACGCGTAACTTTAGCCATTCGCTTCCTCGAGCTGAAGAAGAGAGAATCCACGGGGGGGGCCCTTACCCAGGTGTAGCAGTAGCCACTGCAGACGGTGGTGTTGATGTAACGACACTCGGCGCAGCCACTCTTCTCCACCGCTATGGTGGTGTTGTGCAGCTTGCACAAGGAGTTGGAGTAAGCCACCTCGAGCCACAGAGCCAGTTGGAACAGCTGAAGGGGACCCATCCTGAAACGACATGCCGGTTTTAAAAGTGATGGCAGAGGTTTGTTTTGTATGCGGATCGCGATTATTTTTTTTGCGAGAGATAAAGACACAGATGACAGCGTATGACGCGGGTGGTGTGGTCAGAACCGTACCCCGGCCGCCTTTGTCTCTCCACAGTTCCTATTGTTTACACACCGCACTAGAATACTAATTTAATGCTGAGTCGATGTAGGAAGGAGCCTCAGCATCGATGTAGAGAATATACACACACAATGATTTGTGTGCAGTTGGAGTGATGTCGCCGTTTATTACAGCCCAGGTAAAGGTGCAGCCCTGCAATTGCTTGCTTACGGTACTGCTGGGGAGATGAACGTCTATTAGACGTAGCTCTATAGTCGAGGGTATTAGGCCTACTCTTGCACGCTGGCCAGATGCCTTGAAATAGCTGATAGTACCAATGACCAAAAGAATTGCTCAAATTAAATATTCTGTCTTCAGTAATTTCAAAAAGTCAAGAAATGTTATGGAGAAAAACATGTTAAGTACGCACTGCATCTGTATTATATATGTGCATGCTGTTATGTAACATATATCTCAGAGTAATGTGTGTGGATGTATGTATGTATGAATAATCACTTATCGACTACGCTTGGAAACATGCTTACGGCGATACTGTTACGTTACCTTTTGTTTTGGAGTGGGTGCAGAGTTGCTGTTGTTCTGTGAATGAATGAATGGGCTGAGTGCAGATAAACTGAATGCAGCGCTAACGTGGGTCTTATATACTTGGAGCCGCCGATCATGGTTGGGTTTAGGCTGCTATTATAAATATGTTAATCACATCTTGGCACATTGTCAGCTTCTGCCACGGCAAGGCTGTAATTTAAAAACAAATACTGAAATGGAAAATAAAAGGTAATCTTTTATTTGATGAAATTTCGCCGAGCATAGAGTTTTCTTTCAGCCTGTAGTGCCAAAACTGAACTGACGTGTTGAGAACAACAGAGAGCAAGTCGGGGAGAATAATGCCTGATTATAATCTTACAACAACTAATTCACCTACCTGCTCGCATAGGTTTTGATGTTAACTGTCGTGGTTTTTGTTGGCCTCAAATTGACTGTGCTTTGACTGTTGTATTTGTTGAAGTTCTATTTGCATTGCACAAGTCTGTGATCGTTGCCTTCATTTGAATTTGTTAAGGACCGACACCTCTGACATTCTATGATGTGTCCGTTACGATCAAGCCAATCTCGCTCCTGAATTGACTGCTGGTTCTCCTGCACGTCCACTTTGTACGTATGCATGTTGAACTTCTTTCGCACCGCACGTAGCCAATTTGTGCGAATCGGAGGTGCGTGGGAAGGACAAAAAACTAAACACACGCACAAAAAGGTTCGTGAATAGGTCAGATGTTGCACATATCTCATCATCAATTGCATAGGTCCCTTGTTCCTCGCAGTCAAAATGAAAGCACAACGCTTTGACAAAAACCACAGTTGCTGTGACGGTCTCGCAGATGGACAAATGCGCTTTTACTCCATAAACATCGCGAATAAAGTAAATCTAGACGTTAATTTAACATTGTAAACTTTTCCTCGTCCATATTCCATATTTCTTCCGCAATAATTGACATGACAATTATGTTCATTTTGAGTTCATCGAATGACTGAATCGTTTTATGTGCAGTTCTTGACAACCTTGTGCACTATAACGTTCATATATTGAAATGGTTATGCACATCGGGCTATGTTGAGTGAACTGCAGGCGAACATTTTTTTTAAAAGTAACATTTATTAATGCTAGAAGTACAGAAAAGCACTACAGCAATACAATAACAATTAAAAATAGCATTACAGTAATTATCCGATCCACTTCTCCCCCTTTTGGCGTTGTTTCGCAAATACATCGTCACTTTATCAACACCGCTACCCGATTTGCGTCGCCTCAACCCGCACTTACGTCGCTGACAGCATCGTTCATCCTTTCTCGTTATCCGTCGCCTCTCATGCTTCGCCTCCTCCACCACCACCACCCACTACTTACCCCTGTAAATCGATTTGATTCACATCGTTTCCGATATTCGTCGTCGCACCTTTCAGGAATGCAAAGCTGTGGGAAACTGATAACACGATTGACGTTTTGTGAAATTTGGTAAGGTTATCGTATCACGTGGTAACGCAGGAACCCTCATATTACATTGCAATAGCTATAGCAACAGATTTCGTTAGCTTTGCCTGACATTTTACATGCATAGATGAACTACGGAGCTGGTAGTCGCCAGGTGTTGGCTGTAAATTGATCGAACCAAAAATGCTCGCTCCTGGATTTCTACCTACGTGTCTTTACCGAAAGAACCAACGAGTATGGATTTATATTGCCGAAAGATTGGGTAACGTCTCATTGCCGTGACTACAATAAATATATTGTGGAGCTTGTCTGAAAGTGTCCTCCAAAGCATCAGGTGCTCTCATGCACTTCGGGAGGAGATGGTCGCCATTCATGTGCACCTTGATCTACGAATTAAATGCGCTTCGCAAATGTAAAACTATTGCCATTGATGATTTGAATGAGCTACTATTAATTTTCAAGTAGTACGTGTGTGCGTGAGCCGAGGATCAAAGAACTGGACAAATAAAGGCTGCAAGGTGCGGTAAAAGGTGAAATGTGAGCAAAGAAAAAGACATCTCTAACACGTTTTCAAAACAAAATAAGCGATTGTTGTTGGAGGGATGCAACTGAAAAAAAAACAGAACAGTACATACGAGGGCCAATACCATAGAAATGTCTTTTTTTATTTTAATCTCTCAGCATGTCCAGCCTTCCCCCCATCTCCGCGGGTTTTCATGCCCCACGAATATAATAAGGCCCATGTGTTGTATGCACCGTATGTGTTAGACTTCTTTCGCACCGTACGTAACCAACCGTGATTCATGTGTTTTTTTTCTGACTTTATATGTGAACGAAAAGACACAAATTCGCCCGTTTTCTCATTGAAAATAGGTCAATTTCAAAATATCACTGTCCTGGTCACAAAAGCAAAGTTTGTGGGGAATAATAGTAATTTTCTATACTTTTTATGCATAAGCAATTACGAAATAACACTTACTACCCAGGAACAAAAAAATTGTTACGCAGTGTAATGGGAGGCGTTGAGGTGGATGTCTGTTGAGGTGGTTGTCTGTCCGACTGTCCCGGTATAAACGCAACTGCTATATAGAAAACTAATAATTATGCATTACTACTATTATACCAGTTGACACAATGCGATTATAGGATAAAATTAGGATTTAAATATACACTGTACATACAATATTTTACCTTTTTAAACAATTTTATACAATTTCGATATACATTTATCGTCTAAATGCCACGGTGCCATCAAGACACCTCATGTCATCGGTGTGCCCCGATTTTGCGAGTGAAGACCTTTTTTTTCCCCCCGCGTGCAAATCATGCGCACAAATCACGCGCACATTAACCTACTCACGCCGGCTTGTCCCGGCTCTCACAGTCGGGCATATTGTGCGGAATACACCACGTGACGCCGCCGTTGACCCTGGCCACTGACCGAGCAACCCAACGTTCATACCAGCTCCCTCCGCAGGAATGTGTTAAACGTTGAGTTTTATAAGGGCACCACGGGGTGACCAGCCCCTCCCCACCCAGCCCCTCCCCACCCAGCCCCTCCCTCCCCACCCAGCCCCTCCCTCCCCACCCTTCCCCTCCCTCCCCACCCAGCCCCTCCCTCCTCACCCTCTCCACCCTCCCCTCCCCACCCAGCCCCTCCCCACCCAGCCCCTCCCCTCCCCACCCAGCCCCTCCCTACCCAGCCCCTCCCTCCCCACCCTCCCCTCCCCACCCTGCCCTTACCACCCAGCCCCTCCCTCCCCCACCCTCCCCTCTCCACCCAGCCCCACCCCTCCCATTTGTGGATGCACGACGGACGGACGGACACAATAATCCCCTGTGGGCTGGTGGTGTAACCAGGAGGTTTCCTACACAGTACAATCGCGTTACGTTTAGCGTCATCAATCAAACCGACAAACACAACATACATGACGCGAACGAGACGGTGAGTAACGGCGAGGATTCTCAGTCGCGATGGGACATCCGTGCCGTCACGATTAGACGTAACATCGCTCTGGCGATGTGGCTAGGGCAATGGCTACGTGAAATTCTAGAAGGCCAATGGGGGGTGGGTTTCCTAATAGTAGAATCCCAATCGACGTCGGGAAAATGTATTCACTGCCATGACTCAATCGTTCGGGGTTTTTTTTTAAACTTACGTTTTCGTGTGAGCGCCCGTATGAATGATGCGTTTGCATTTAACGGTCTGCCAACGAAGGTTTGAAGGCCATTGCGCATTATTATCTCTCTTGTCCAGCTGTCTTGTGTCGAGAGGGCACAGTAACGCTCGTCAAGGTGATCCCATAGGAGCAAAGCTTAAGTTGAAAGTCGTTTAGCTTTTGGGGTGCTCACCCCATAGAAAAGGGGCCGTCCATAAATGACGTCACGCGATTTTGGACGATTTTTGACCCCCCCACCCCCGTCGTCACAAAAAGTCAGACCCCCCCCTTCAAATATGACGTCACAAAGCTATGCCCCCCCCCCCCTCCAAAATAAAATGCTTCAAATCGCTTTAAACTATTGTCATTGTAGTGCGTATTTAATGTGGCATTGCACTCTGTTGTAGGAGAAAACATTAAAAAGTATATTTATGAAGTAGAACGTGTTTATATTTAAAGTTGCGCATTTTGATGTGACGTCACATCTCTCACCCCCCCCCCCCCCTTGTCACACAGTCACAAATGTCTGACCCCCCCCCCCTCCCTAGGTGCGTGACGTCATTTATGGACAGCCCCAAAGCCTCGACATTGATCTTCGGGTTGGCCCTGTCTTCCCCGGCAAGACCACGGAACACCAACCCCGTTGTCTCGCTGCTGGACTGCTTACTGGCCGAGCACGAGCACTTACCTTTATCGCGAAGTCAATATTTCCAGGTCTCCATCGCTTTATGCGGTTAGTAGTAGATGCGTTTCCAAAAAGAAAAAAAGGTCGCACAAAGCGAAACGGCACGAGAGGCAGCTGCCTGGATTTCGCGATTGCTCGCACCAATGCTGGTGGAAGACCCCTTCCACTCGAGGTAGCTTGAGAGCTCCTCTTGGTGTAGAACAGTGTTCTTCACGCATTTTCAGAGCGAGGGAGGTGGGGCACTTTAGCCGATAAGACTTCATCACCTGTCAACCCATACGGTTTACCCGCATTTTTGTACAGGGAAATTGAGTTGTTAGGTCCATATGGCGCACAGCCGTTTCAATACGGGCACAAAAAAATGTGTCTATTTGTTTGTGTTTCTCCCTTGTGATGGGACTTTGTAGTAGGATGAACGTTGAGATGTATAATGACACTGGGTGACCAATAAGGTCTGAATTGGTCTGTAATAATGTAGGCACTGGTAAGGGGTTGACAGGTGTGTCATCAGTGCGAGGGTCACCACACCACCTGCAAGGGGCGTCTTCACACGTTGTGAATTGTTGGGAAGCCGCACTAAAGGCCACCAGAGGGCATCCAGTGGCCCCGTGGCCTTGCAATGAAAATCACGGGCCTACAGGTATTTGGCATCCCGTTGCGTGCCGAACCAGACGTGTTAGAATACATGCGAAAACACAGTAACTTATGAAAAAACATGCGAGAAAGTTTTTTTTGTATATTCATCATGCTGTAGATGTATGTGTGCAAGCATGCTTAATCATCGAATACATTTGAAAAAGTTAACGATACTGTATTGTTACTTTACCTTCTGTTTGGGGTGTGTAGAGTTGTGTTTTGTGAATGGTATGTGTAGAGACTGAGGAGAGCGTTTAATGTAGATCTTGTATACTGAAGGCCACCGATTGTGGTTCATTAGTGCTATCTAAACATCGGGTATTCACATACAGTACTGTACCGTTTTGGCAAGAGACGTCTAGCTTCTGCAACAGGGTAAAACATAGAGTACTTATATGAATTAACATATGAAAAAATATCTTGGGAGGAGAGATCTTGGAAAACATGAACAAAGAGGAACTTACGAAATGTATGTACGGTTGCCTTAAAAAAAACTTTCACGTCATCCGATGGGTTAGACCTCAGTCCACTGCTGGCTGCCACGATTTCTCAGTCCCGAGATGCAACTTCCCCACCTAGCACCCGCAAACGAGATGTCATTACCCCGAGGTGGCCATCCACTCAGACGAGCACCCTCTTTGGCCATCACTTCGTCGTTATTCTCTCCCGTTGCGCCATCATTCCTTCTAGCGTAATGTCTTGCTCAAGCCTACTTACTTTTCTTCAATAGTATCAACTGTGACTGACCTGTGTTATGTTATGTAATCCATGTGTTCATCTTTCTCTCTGCATTTGTTCAATGTTTTTGTGAATGGCCATGTTTCTGAACTATGTCATAGCAGGTGGTAAGCAATGGTTAAACACTCTCTTTGGTTATGTTGGAATGGTGCTTGAATTTTCAGCCGTAATAGCAGGTTCCAACCTACTCGAATCTACCTATTTATTTCATATAGGGCATTCATGTGTTTGCTGCCCAGGTCAGGTGTACAGGTGTTTGCCTCGATCAGCACAGTTGGCTATGTACGGTGCGAAAGAAGTTCAACATACATATTTTGTATCCCTAGTCCCTTTCGTGCTGAGAACTCACCGCTGACTCAAGCTTCTGCTCCACAACTTTAACTCACAGAAATGCTCTGTAGCCTAGTGGGGAACATGTGGAGTTTCCAAGCATGAGGTTACGTGTTCAAGTACAACCATCTTTTAACATTATACATTTAAAGCACACAAGTATTAAAAAAAACATGAAATGTGTTTTATTTGTTTTTTGACATAGAAAACATCTGATGTTTATATATTAAACATGTCAATGATTTAAAAACCATAACATCTTTAACAGACACTTGTGGTGCAGTGGATAACACGTCTGCCTCTGAAGTCGGAAGTTTGTAGTTCAAATCCCATGCCAGGCTTTTTCGAATTTGATTAAAATTCCGTGAAGTTACATCACATTTATGCAGCCAAGTGTCACCAGTGCAGAGACTATATGACATCGGGCCCCTGTATCAGTATGATGATGCAGTGGCTGACGCTGACCGTGCAGGAGCCCTGGGATCTGGTTCAAACCCCAACAATGGTGAAACAGTAGATAAATGGATGTGGTTGGTGCTCAAAGCAAACTACCAACAAGTGAGTATTTCAAAGTGGATTGTCCTTGTGAATGTAGTAACATTACTAATTGTGTCGTTCTCTCCCTCAAAACACAGTAATGTGAGGAAGAGAGCTGCAGTCCAGGATGATGGAGGTGGAGAATACCCGAAGGAGGGTGTAGGAAAAGAGGGGAAAATTTTTTATCATTTTTATGCACGGTTGGTAAAATTACTCACCACTAGGGGGCGCTGTGCCATTAATAAACCCCCTTTACACCCCAAGTCTTCTGAAAATGTTGAGTCTAGAACATTTTACTCACATTTAAGCCGGAAGCAATGGTTTTACTCAAAATGACAGTGAAATCCGGCATTCAAATGTGAATAGTTTTATGAAATGGTAAAACAAGGATTTACAGCCAGCAAGGTCACTGTCTTGTTGAAAATTGTCGTTAAAACTTTTCTTTTTAGAAAGTATTATGAAAAATTTAATAATTTATAAAGTTTAGGGGCTAAAAAATGCAATACATCTATATTTTTTAGAAGACACAGTAAAATATTAAAAATAAAACGACATCTAAAGAAGTGTGGTCAACATCCAGGAGGCAGGAGTGGACTGACAAAAGTCCTGTGACCGGTAACTAGGAGAGTCAAATTTTGCCAAAACAATTAAATGTAGGTGTTTAATTATTTATTTGACAAAACAAATCTAGCTCAGCAGCCAGCTGATTTTAGGATAACTAGGAAACAGATTAAAATGCTGGGAGCAAATTGATTT